TTTAATGATAAACATTGACTTTCTAAAAGTGTCAAATCTCAGTTTCATTGATAAATCACCAGAGATGGAAAGTGTCGTGCCCTTGTCTGTGTGTCTTAATGCTCACTTCCTATCCAGTGACCTTCCTCAGCAGCAGTTCGTCTGCAGGAAAACGCCCATCTTGAACTTGACTCATTTGCTACTTCGTGGGGGGAGACTTTGTCTGAACTTCAAGAAAATGGTCTGCTGACTCCAAAAGCTCCTCAAAAGTCACATAACACTCGCACACCGAGGGTTGCGTGGAATAATTCTGATTATTCATCCTGTGTGTGCAGTGTGCTGTTCGGCAGCATTCAGAAAAACAATCCCCACTTCCAAGTGGAAAGTGAACTTTGCATAGCTGTTTAGTGATTTCATGCAGAACAATTTATTCAGCGTTCAGATGACTGAACTTGACAGTAGCTCTGTTGTAGTTCTGTAAAAGCCTTTTTACACTTGTCAAAGAAACTTACACCCGCTAACATCTGCCTCTTGATTTGGAAAGTATTTAAGCGGCAGTCAGCCTCACGTTAAATGTCTCTGCCACAGACGCTGCTTTTGATTTGCTCAGTATCTACAGCTCAGTACCAACACGTTAACTGTGTTCGTATTTATTTTCTTTGGAACGCTTTAATCGGGGAAGCAAAAGCAAGCCCAGCTGTCATTTCCTTTGCAGACACTCATGTTAACAAAGCATAATGTTTCATATGGAGGCGCAGACATTCCAACAACATGCAGATTGAACTTTAAAAAGAAAAGCATCTGTATTTTTCCTGTTTGGCCAGTAAAATGTTAATGTTAATGAGCCTCAGTGAGGGGACAGTTGAATGGCATCTTGTTGTAGTGACATGCCTGTCCTCTGGGAGGTAGTGGCATACTGGACCTGTAAGTTAGAGCCCTCAGGGCCCTGATGATAAACCCAGTGTTACATGCATTGGGAAAGGCTTTAATCGGTTTATTTCAGGTTGTGTACCCGGATTTGAAAATCCTTTTTAATCACGCTTGATGGTGGCCTAAAGAAAAAAGAAAAGAAAAAGGTTGAAAAGTAGCAAAATAACGCCAAAAATTAGCATATGAACTCTGGTTTGAAGGTTGTGGGTCCACCCACGAAAACAATTTTGCACATTCCTACATCCAGAAGCGGCTTGCTGCTTTACATGATCACTCAGAAGGGGAGCTTCATCTAGCAGCTACAACTTTGTCAGATCCTAAAAGCTCAATTTCCGATGAGGGACATTTCTTGTCAGAAAATAAATAAATAAATAGATCCGTGGCTGGACTGTGGGAATCGGCTCCACACATCAGAACTGACTGCTGCCAGTGAGGGTGCAGCATGTCGGAGTTATTTGTCTCTTTTAACCGCTAGCTGGAGCCATCAGCCTCCGTTGGCCTCATTTGGAGGGGGAAAAAAATACAGAAAAAGTGAGATTTGGCCACAAATTTGCAATTCTTAGCGTAACAAAACCAACAACGTTTAGTGTGTCGGCTCTGGGTTAGCCAGCAGGTACCCACAGCTTCCGCAGACTCGCTAGACGTCGGACTGAATGCTGATTGCTCCCCTTCCACAAAAAAGCAGATGTTAGTGAGGTTTAAAAAAAAGTTTTTCCGTTTTTCTCTTTTGCAAAGTGAACGCAGCATTAAACTGTTGTTGTATTGCTGTTTATTTTTTCGAGACCTACTCATCAAAAATCACAAGTGATTGAAGATACTCGCCTGCTTCACTCTCTGTGTGTGTGTGTGTGTGTTTATGTTTGTGTGTGTGTGTGTGCGTGAGCTCCTAACTCACAAAACGCTGAAAAGGAAAAAAATAATTTTTTGTTAAAAAGCAACATCTCATCCAAATGACTTCATTTTTGGTCCTTCAGTCCCCAGGTTCACAGCAGTGCACCTGCCAATTCTGAAGTAGTGAGTATGGACAGTTGTCCAGAAAAGCAAAGAACACACACACACACACACACGCACGCTCACACTGGCCAACGTGCAGACATTCCTGAAACGGCCAGAAAAATCCTGCAAGTTATATTTTTGTTTTTCCCTCCACGTCCTCCGCTCTCCCTCCTCACATTTCCACCCTAAATAAAAGAGCATTACGTTTTCCCCTAAAAATCTTGAACTCGCCCGTCTGTTTGCGAACAGCCATAATTCACAGGAAAGCGCGTTTTTTTGGAAGGAGCACACTCACCAGCCCCTCAGCTGAGTGGGCTACTACGCAGTCAGCTCGTGTTCTCCTGTGGTCTGGAGGAATGCAGCTCACACACTAATGGAAAGCCCACAACCAACAAATTTCTCTTCCCATGTAAAAGGTTGTGTTCAACCAGTGCCTGTGAGCCCCTGTGCATGAACACGATAGCAAACAGAGAGCACTTACTCTGCAGGGGAGGCAGAATAGATCACTGAATGACAAGCTGGGGGCTTTTTTTTTCGTTTTTTTTTTCTCCTTTCCCCCCAGTGCTTGTAATTGACATCTTTATACTTGAAAGATATGTAGTGCTTTTACAGATGTTTTATTCTCTTTTAGAACATGCTCTTGTGGAAAGGTTTTACATCTCTAGTAAATTCAAAATGTTGTAATAAGCATAAATTGTTGGACCTCGTAAAATGGAAGCGTCAAACATGAGCCATGCATTTCCAGTCTAATATTTTTTCACAGGAAGCGGTGTCGTCGTAACATGGCATCCCGTTGTTCTCCTCTGAGGCACGGTATGCGGGACCCGCTTTCAATAGACTCGTCCTGATCAGTGATTGGTGAAACTGCCCGTGACAGCTATGGATAAGGCCACCTTCAGAGATGAAGAGGGTGTTTGGGTCATGATGCGGGGAAGTAATATTTAGCTAATCTTTTTGTCTCTATTATCAGGCTTTCTGAAATAAAGTGGGTGGAGCGGGGCCATGGGGGCTGGTCCTGGCTCTCTGTTTGATCATTGATCTCCATGACCCCGTTTGAAGGGTCTTAATCTCTCTGTTGACCTCTGGAAGGTTTTTTTTTTTCTCTTTTCTTTTCTCTTTTGGGGAAGGGTAACAGGGGTGTCTGTTGACCGGGGCCTATCAAGACAGAGAGTGGGGATGCTCCCGCGAAGACAGGGGGGTAGTGCACTTTTCCACTTGAGTGGAGATGGAGGATAGCAGTGAATGTGGAAGATGTGTGGATCACATATATGCGCATGCCCAAGGAAGCACACGTGGAAGTTTGCACATACTGCTACTATTGTGTGAGTATTGGATGACAGGCCCTCACATTTGATGTTGTTTAGCTTTTAAAAGAGGCTGATCTGCATTGCGTTAGTTACACAAAGGTGTCATCCCTCCACAAAAATACTGGTACAATCACTTGTTTAGAGATGGTATGAATCCTATTTTCTTTCCGTTCCAGTAATACAGAGACTTTTCCCAAGTATCTCCTTACATCATGGAAACACTATCCAAACCCTAACTCCATCCATAAAAAAGATTTAAGGTTCATTTTTGTCTATGGCCTTTAGAGCCTAAGTCTGTAAAGTCAGGGTGGTGATGTTTCTGTCTTCAGGTCTCAAGCTGAACGTCATCGTTTTGTTGATATCTATGCGTGTTTTGTTAAGCTGTCATATCTTAAGCTACAGGAGTAAATTATATTATAACGTTTGATATTGATCCTATGAGAAAACTGAAGGATGACATTGTTTATTAAAGTTTAAAAGTCATCTAAATCAGTATTCAGTGAGTTTATTAGACAATATAGCATCAGTCACCATTGTCTCATAAAATATTTGGGGAAATTTTTCTTATCTTTTGATAAGAGGAAGATTGCGCTCCCTCTCACCTCAGGAGGTATTTCTTTAAAGGGTTTCCATTGACCACAATACAGTCCTGATTGCTCAATCTTTGTATGCAACTTATCTTGTGGATCACAAAGCCCACAACGACACAACGTAACAGGTTGAGACAGGATGAAAATGGAGGCCGCCCTGCTCTGTGACAGTGGCTGTCAGATCTCTGTCTGCAATGAACTTAATGAAGGGACAAAGCCTCCTGCTCAGAGGTTACAAGACCATCAGTTTAAAGCGCTTTACGCCGCATGATTGATTAGGATAAAAACCGGACCCCACATGCATACATGCTACTATTCACTTTGTTTTTGCAGATGGCTTATTGCTATTTGTACATTATTTATTGAAGCATACCTAATTATGTTTTAAGTCTTTAGAAATCACAGGTCTGCTTCCACAAAGTTCTCTTTGATACTTTTCCTTCCGAGGCTAAACGAGCCGGAATTAACCACAGAATTTAAAAGAGAAATGAGAGCATTTGAACTATGAACTATGTGCCTGTCTGGCTGTTTTGTCCGTACAAGACCCTGATTTTCAACTCACTCATCATTCCAAATATGGAGCCCTTAATGGCCAAATGGTCCAGTTTGTTTCAATCAAACCAAGCAGGATGTGTATTAAAACTTTATAAGTTTAGCTCCAGCTGTCTCTATCAAAAGAACAGAGGGTGCAGACTATGAATACATTAGAAACACAAGTTTGTGGGTGGCTGGATCCAGAGTCAAAGTGAAAATGAGATACTGTCAGATTTTTGTGATTATGTAGCTCTCTGATCTTTTTCACAAAGTGCAACACTTAAGCAAATGTTAAGAACACTGCTTTGAAGGGACTCTGGTGCAAAGAAACTGAGCTCAAAAATGTAATTTCAGTCGCCGTCAGAGCCTTTACCAGATCTTAAGACGGTGCATAACGTGGTGCCGTGGTACCACGAACCAAAACAAAGCAACAGACTTGTCTACTCAAGTCTGACCCCTGAATTTCTCTGTGGGACGCTTAACTGCCAAAGCCCAACGCCGGTTTACTTTTCTGCGCTTTGTTTTAATATTGACGGGAGCGTTGGGACACAAGTACCAAAATAATTCATGATTTGGAGATCAATATTGATTGGAACTGTAAGAGGAGGAATCCGCTCAAGCAGAGAAATGTTTTGAGGCATGCTTTAGGTTGTTTTTGCCTTAGGAGAAGAATCCATTCAGAGGAAACGTGGAGGCAGCTGTGCAAATGGTGTGTGACATAGCAGAGTCTGCCATGACACCACATACCAGGTCCGATAGGCTCTTGAGACCGTGAGGGAAACTTCCTTTTATGCCAGACGTACTGTGCGGTTTGAGCTTTACCCGCTTCTATAAATTCCAACCACCGGCAGCTCATCGTATGCTGCCACCGTCTGGTGAGGAGAATGTGTCTGACTCTCCTTTTTCTGTTCATCTTTTGAACCCGATCGCCAACAAAGGCGACCGGGTTCTTATCTGACGATTCTTCCTTCTTCACATGTGAACAGTTTTTATCCTCCTTCCGTGAACCGCTACTCAGAGCATTGAATTTTGTCTGACCTCAGGTTTATTTGATATCTTAATACAAATAATTAATAGTTTCTAGTCTGCAAATCTTTCATTCTTATGTCCCTGCTCTCCCATCAATCTTTTATGTCACCTCGGCCAGCAGATGAAAAAACAGAGGGTTCTCTCTTAAGGATTACGAGAGGAACTAGTGGCATCCACTTTTCTGTAAGTGTTGCATTATGTTCACTCACAAGCGTGCACAGATCAAAAAGTGTATCATGAAGCTGAAAACATGTTCTCACCATTCCACTGCATCAGCTACCATTCAACACACAACCAAAACTTCCAGTGTTTAGCACTGAGGTCACAGTGTTTTCCTCTGTTTGTATATGGACTCCTTGCCAGGGTAATTTAACAGCCGATTATTAGGCCTCAAAATGTTTATTTTAAGACTTAGATGTGGATTACAAGGATCTATTTCTTTTGAGAAGATGCGACATGACAGGAAGAGTGCAAGAAGAGGAGACGGGAATGTTTTCATTAGAGCGTTTTTGGTATTCAAGCCAGCTAATTAAGTTCTCTTTTAACTCCAGATACGCCCGAGTGTTGTCAGACAAGGTGTGTTGCAACACGCCCATCCACGGGCAGCTGTGCGGATGTGCTGCTGATGAATGCAAGCGCACCCCTGAAGAAATCGCACAGCTTTTCATCAACAGCCGTTTTTTTTTTTTTTTTTTTTTCTCCTTTTCTTTTTTTTTTTTATACACTTATTTTACTATAACCCCCTTTCCTCATGTGTCACACTCTCACACACACAAGATTATGTTATGTGGTCAATTCGCTCACCCTCAGGTATGCAGCAGCACTCCAACCAAACCACAAGTAAATACCCACATATGCAGAAGGCATGGTCTCCCTTTCCCTTTACTCTCCTCAGCTGGAAAGGTTTTCAGCAAACTTAAGTCTCACAAAGTCCCTGGGAAGGAAGCCATAAAGAGTGGATGTGATGGGAGGAGGAAAACCACAGTGCTGGGTGAATTGTGATATTGACAGATGGAACACTTCCTGGCTTTTTTTTGGAGGAGATACCGATCTCCTCCAAGCAGTGTTAGCTGAGATACTCGGTGCAGCCAAGCACAAAGATTACACCGAGTGTGCTGTGGGAAAGCAAGAGGGCTGATGAAACACAAAGCTGCAAATGAGAAAGGTATTGTGTCCCAGTGCCAGTGCCCCAGACCTCCCCTTCTGTTTATCTCTCTGCCCATCATCTGGAGCATTTTTATCCACACACCAGATGTACTCAGCCCACAGGATTGTGCCTGTGATTTAGTTCTTTTCCTCCTCTTTCTGTAGCTGTTCGGTAGACATGCTGTCCTGTCAAAGGTGAGGAGATCCCAGACTATTGTAAAGGCGTTTTTTTATTTTAGACTTGAGAGGTAGTCGTTTGGGATGTGCCGTTGTTTTCTCTTTTGGCTCCTCTACATCATTTTATCCCGGAAAAACAGCCTTCAGACTCATGATTTGCATTCATTTTTCACACTTTCCATGTATATGGAAGCAGTGTAGAAGCAGATAAGTGAATCGTGTGAGTGACCAGCTGTCTGTCAGCATTATTATTACATAATACGAGTAATAAGCCAACATGTGTACATATTCAGAGGACTGTGTCAGATTGATGTATGGATGCTCTCAGCTCTGCTGAAGTGCTGCTTTTGTTTTAAGCATTTGCATTCCTTCGTGCCACAAATGCCTCCAGATGTTACCCTCCTAAACTATATGTGCTTTCTGCCTGTAAGAGCAGGGAACCCCCGCTTGGCTTGGATTTCCCTCCATAAAGTCCCGTTATTTGCCAGTGTTTTTCATCCCCTCGGAAGTCACTGACATGCGAGCCCTTCAACCAAGCACTCTGGTTCCTCCATTAAGGGACCGGGCCCAACAAACAAACTCGGTGCCTGACTAAAAAAGGCAAATGACAGCATCGGATATACGACGGTGTCGTTTTATTGGAGCAAACAGTTAAACTTAACGGGTCCATTGCTCAACTCTTCCTCTGGACTGGAACCTCACTTTATAGTGAGTCTAATAGCAGCAGTTTTTCTTTCCTTTCTTTCCTTCTTTAAACTCTGTGGACCACCTGCTACTCCTTTTCTGAGCCTTTCACCGTTTACATAAGGATGGGGTAATTCCGTTTAAACACATTCATTAGCTGTCAGTAATGGTCTACCTAACAGCTCCTGGGTGGTTTCTCCATCTTTGATTTGCCCGTGCTTATCTTTTTTTTTTTTTGTCTCATTTTTCTGTCCATCCTGCAGCTAACTCACCTTCCTCTGTGGCGCCCATGACAGATCTGCAGATTTGTCAGGTACCATCAGCGCAAAGCTGGTGCCATGTGACGCCCCCGGCGGCTTGCCAAAAGCTAATTGTGCTAATTGTCAAGCGCCAATCCTGTAACGAGGCTTTGAGGGGCAACCCACCGACACAGATGAAAGCACTAAGATTTGTCTTGTGTCAAGGACTTGCGGGTAATCGGCGCGTCCACTGACCTGAAGGCAGGCAGGGCAGGACCAGAGAGCTGTTGCCAGTCTGTGCAGAGATGGAAGCGCATAGGGACAGCAAACAGAGGCTCCGCCCACTGGCTGCTCCCTTAGACCAGGACCCAGATTTGACGGGGATACATCTTTTTTTTTTTAAGCGATGAAAGGTGTTTTCATCCAAGCTTACCTCAGAAAAATGTATTTTTAGAATATTGAATACAAATATGTATGTATATATGTGTGTGTCTACATGTGTTTATATTCACATAGTTTTATATTTTAATGAGGGTTTTTGCTGTGCTAATCTAATTCTTTTTCCTTTTTTTCTCTTTAGTTACTCAGCAGATTCAGGGTAACATTAATTTAATCCTTAAAAGCTATCAGTCGCACCAACTGTCAAATCAAAAACTTGTCACTCCTCCTCTGTGTATACGTGTGGAACACACATGGTCTGCTCCAGATTGATTCGAAGAGGGCAGAAACCAGACAAACTCTCCCAAGGGCTTTACCAGTCACCAGGTCATTTTACTTTTGCAGCTTTAGTTGTCTGATAGCCTTAGTGGAGGGCGGGGGGTATTTGGTCCAGTCTACTACAGAGAATCGGTTTAAAAACTGAACATATGCCTGCGTTTGTTCCTTTAGCTCTTTGTTTATTTGTCGCTCATTCAGATGGCCGTAGCTCCTTCTTTGTAAAATCCATTAGCTAATTTTCATTCTGTCTGGTAACCTTTTTCCAAATAATCACATCGTCTTACAGAGTCTTGTCCTGGACTGATCGGTGTTAAAAGCATAAAGAGGCGCAGGCGTGTCTGGACGGAACTTTTTGGTTGATACATGGACTTTTATTTACAGGCAGTTAATCACATTTACGACTCATTAATGGACACTTCAAATGAGCAGAGGCCCAAGTTTTTATATCAAGCATTCTGGTTCCAGCACACAACTGACTGATAATCTGCTATGTCCATGTAAAATAGCTAATAGTGTGTTTTTAAGAAAGCAACGAGATGTTTGTGTTAATAGCTTAAAGCGTGTTCAGCTGTGCTGGGGCTCCGCTTGTCTTTGAAAAACCTAAAAGGCGCTTGTACACAGCACTTACCTTTTTGTCCCTCATTTTAGACAAATTAGATTAGACCCAGAGTAGTCTAGAGAGGAAGCTACTTCATTAAGTAGGTCATCTGGGGGTTATTGTGATTATTAGTCATTAGTAAACTTTAGAATGTCTGACCTTTGCTTATTTAGTGAAAAAAAATGAGGGGCCTGTTTTTCAGAGTACAGTATTTCAGTTTATCTTCATTTCAGTTGGACTTCATAAGACTGGCCTCAAAAGCTGCTCCTTACAGTAAAGATGGCTGTACAGTGACTGTAACACACTGGCTGTTATCCAGATGGTGCAGCATTGTATATTTCGCAGTATTTGACTGAAACCATGTAGCATTTCCTCCTAACAGGAAAACAAGAGATCTTTCTGGGATTTGATGTTTTTGGCGTGCTTTTGAAAAGATTAAAGTTGTTTAATCTAGATGATTGATGTGTATTTAACTAGTTTCCTTTATACTGTAATCAAGTGTGAAATCCAATATTGCTAAATAAGGTCTTTTTTTCTAGCAGTCGTGTCTTAAACAATGTCTGGAATATAATGATATTCTCTTACATAACAATTGTTACTGCTGCTCGACACTAAATGGTAAAAATTGACCAAATAATATTGTAGTTAAAACCATTGATCCTCACTCTTCATGCTAAAGAAAAGAAAAAAATGCACCTCCCCCTTTGACCGTTTTACAATTATGACGGCCCATTTTCAGGGATTCTAAACTGTGTGAGCCTGAAATCCAATGAATGCACAGAATACTTGGCAATTCACTCTCCCCCAGTGCAATGTAGCTACATGAACATGTAAACTGTCTGAGTTTTGCAGACATTGCTGCAGGGCAGAGGGAATTACACTGTCACACAGAGGATATGGAGCTGCCGTGATATCCTCTTGGCACATAGTTGAAGATCATCCAGGTGGAAATTGGTATGCTCTGCCAAGAGCGAGAAAGGGGAGTGAGGTAGCTGCGTGGGAGGCGCTCATCTGCATTGGCAAGCATAGTCTTTCATGTAAAGAGCATATGGATTCATCTGTATAAGCTGTCAGAGCCAGAAGTTTATGTTGCAGGGCGTTGAAGTCAAATGTTTTCATGTGTGTTTCCACACCTGTACGTTTTTTGGGGGGAGGGGTGGGGGCGAGGGTTCATGCTGTAAGTGTTGTAATGCAGAGTGTTTAGAATTTTATCTAAATTGCTCTTTACAACCTTCCCAGACACTGAAGAACACCATAAAATGAGTTTAATTGAATTAACCGAAATTTGTTTTTACCATGGATTATTCTCTGTGATTTGATCAAACATAAGAGTATTCCTTACCAGTCAAATTCTTACACTCTACAGATCAACAAGTCGCAAAGCGAAGAACAAGGAAAAGATAAAGGTTTTCATTAGTGTCTTCAGTATTTTTTTGGAAGCATTTACATTGCTAGCATCTCTGAATTGATGGTCATGATGTAACCTTACAGTAAAGGGTGCGTCAGTAAACATTAAAAGTTCACTTTACAGATGCTATCGTGAACCGCCTGATTTAAAAACTGTAAATCTTTTTTACGAACTGTACTATTTGCAGAATACTCTACCCCTGCTGTAAAGCATAACCTGCATTATCAGCTAAATAACTTTTTACAGAGCTGGGATTTCCAAAATCAAAAAAATCATCCTGTATTAAGGAAGATGCGAAACTAGTTATTGAAATGGTAAACTAAATAGGCCACTTATATTGAGCTCAGGGAGTTGGTAATTATGCTCATTTTGTTTGCTGGCTCTCATTTTACAGCCATAAGAGTTGCCACCTGCTGGCCCGGAGAAACAGAGTGTGATTGTGGGCATTTTTGCACCGGTTTTCTACACCATCTTTGGCACTCATCTCACTTCTTACAATTTGACCTCACCAACAGTCCTTTCCGGGAGATTCTAGTACACTAGAAATGGAGATGTGGCCGATAGGTTTAGGAAACCAGGTGTCTCGAGCACCACAAGCCTGGCTGAGTATGATTAAAGCTGCAGCATTATCGCAAACATTCCTGAAGAAAGATAACAAATCATGCTACAGGGGTTATTGAACGCACCAACTGGTGCTTTCCACTTACCGGATCTGTATGCCATTAACCGGTCCTGACATTGTTTCCCGTTGGCAAATAGTCGTGGAACAGTTGCGTCACGTACATTTTGATGAGAAATAATTAAAAATGTTCCTTTATTTAGAGAAAATTTCGGTGTGGTCTCCTTGCATGTGGTTTGTGTTTTCAGTTGGCCGGTACACATGGACCCCACACATCCTCTGGACCTAAATGTGATGTGCCTCTGGTTATGCTAGTTGTATATCCATTGATTCAATCACACCATGTGTGTTTACGCAGATTATTTATTTGCTGCGTTGTCTGGATGTTGTGTTCGTTTTGATCATCCCTTAGTTTTCATGCAGACCATAGGAGAACATGAAAGTGGCACTTTAAACAAGGAGATTGGACATGGAACATTAGACGTGATACAGTCCTGAAGGTCTGAATACCAAAGAATAACACTGATGTCAGTGAACTGCTGGGAAGGACTACTTTTCAAACTAAGATGACGCATTATTTTCGATCCTAGGGTGCTAATGCTGAGGGAAAATGTTTTATCTCACTTAATTATGTGTTTGGTTACTTTGACGGATTGGATCAGAAAGCACATGAAGGATCTTCGTAACTGACAAGCAACTTACTCCCTTTGAATATGTGCCGGATACGTCAGAATTTCCACAAACATCTCAAAGTGTCCCCGTTACTGTTGTGTTGGGCAGTGTTACTGTTACTGCACGGTTTGTGTCTTAATCGCGGCAGATGACAGACGAATCCCCTGGGCTGTCTGTGCCACACGAGACAGTCCTCCTCAGCTTCCTGTGATCTGGATTACCCTCCCAAAGAGCTTGGGAGCAAAACCAGACAGAAAAGTACCGTGGCGGCATAACCCTTCAGATAATTTTGGGTTAATTTGACCACGTCCTGTACTCAACTGATCCACTCGTTTTCATTAAAGACATGTCAACAAAGTAAACGTCTGCCATAGCCCAATGGCTTAAATCCCTGGATAAAAAGTCTTGATGCAAATGATGCACCCCGTAGACCTACTCACCGTTTCATATAACACTCACACTTTCCCGGTGGTCTCACATTGAAGTGGGCGTCTACTTTTACTTTTCTGAGTCCCTTGAATAAAACGCTAAGTTCCCCCAACTCCATTTTTTAATTCATGGCCACGCTTTTTTAAGGCTCACTTATTGTGTATACCCCGGACTGGGACTGTGGATAAAGCCAATGTTTTCGAAGAGTTAAAACCTGACGTTCTTGCAAGTGTAAGTGCAGTAAAAGTGTTGGTTTAAAAAAAAAAAGAAAAGAAAGGCCAATCTACCCACCCCATCACCTATTCAGCACAGTTTAACTAGTTGAAGATGTGTGGTGTATTGTCCACAGCTTAGATAGAGTGCACCGCTTTAACAGATGGATTCATTAGTTGTACATATTTCACATCTTTTACATTTCTCAGAAGCGTAGATTTTCTCATCTGAGATCAGGTCAGTGCCGTTTGTTAGTGGTGTGAGGCGTGCAGACCTGCCGGTCCGTGTCTCGCCTCCCCCCCCCCCGAGCCACCGACCCCCCCCCCCCCCCCCCTCCGTTTCCCTGCTGCGGTGTACTTTCTGAGGCCCTGCTCCTCTGAAGCCAAACAACAGCACTATTTGTTCTGCCAAGACTGGGATTGTTTTCAACCATCTTTAGCTATGTTTCTGCCAGTCCCGGTCGATGCCAAACCTGTGGACCCTGCACCCATTCCCTCTCCCTCTCTCTCTCTTTTTTTCCTGCAGGCTTTTTTTTTTTGCCCATTGTGTTTCTATGGAAGTCTATGACACTGATGCCGCTTTCACAAAGCAGGCTGCATGTATTCCACAGCGAATGAATGGTTAAAATCCCAACAATGATGTTGTGTTTTCTATTTTCTGTACAACCCGTTTTGTTTTTCATGATTCGCCAAATGTTTTCAGTTGGTGACAGGTCTGCACTGCAGGCACCCCAAACCATCACCCAGGCTCCTCTGGTACAAACCATGCCGTTATAATAGATGCAATGTGTGCTTTAACATTGTCTTGATTAAATGTGGAAGGTCTAACATTTGGATTGGAGGAAAAAGAACTGTTTTCCACTTTGCTCTAGTTTAAACCAACAGGCATTGGTCTGATTGCATGCCGAGACGTAATCACTCCCCTTTTGTTGCAGTGCAGCCCCAGTGCTCAGAGACGGATATTTGTGCACAGAAACATCCACAGATTCTCTCATTCTTTCTATGAAGTTCTGGTCTGTTGACGGACAGTGGAATATTCAAACTTCACGATCAAAATTATTATTTTGACATTGCTCCACAAATTGTTGGCACAGAGTTTTACTTCTCAGAGACTCTCCCTCTCTGTGGTGCCCTCTTTGCACATACACGCTGCTCCAGCTCTTTTTTTTACCACTTAGTTTTCCCACCATCAAATTCAGAATGTGCTATGCACTTGTTTTTATTAGCATTTCAATCTTCAGCCCTAAGATATTTATCTTTTTTTTAATGTTGATCTTATCTTTCAAATCTTTTTAATTTCTTTATTATAACTGTGGATTTTCAGACTTTTGTGAGCCACCATACAAGAACTGTTTGGATTTAGGCAGCCACTGCTCATTGGAGACAAATAGGCCATAGACTATAAGTGAACGCCTCATTGCCCAACACTCCTCCATCACCGGTGTGTGAGAGATGGATGAGTGAGTGTATGTAAACACTGCATAAGGTCTCGGCACGTCTCATAGTGCACAACCTATGTGGAGCTCTTCAGTCTGCTCTTGAAGGACTTAAGAATAACACGAGTCGCTGATGGCCGTCACTCAGTCGTAGAGATCCGTTTGAGACCATCACTTCAAACAGTCTGGACTGCTCACACAGAAAAACAGCAGTTAGAAATTATGGAACAACACCAGATGGATGTTTTTTTTTTTTACTCAGATGTCCCGTTTTATTGAAACTGGCCCTTTTCAACTGCCATTTCTCAAACAATGGGATGAACTGGTGGGAGCCATTTTGCTCTTCCATACGTATGACTTCCCAAATGAAAGCCTACAAGTCTCAGCATGGCGAATAAGAAAACGGAGTGAATGAAGAATGAAAAATAACTTCTCTGGGGTACCTTGGCCATGAATGAAGCCTGCGCACATAGGAGCTCATTCGAGATGCACCCACGGCCATAGGACACAAAGGGAGGGGGTTGGCCTTAATTCAACATCCTGTTTTCCATTGATAGCTCATTTCAGTGATTTCTGTGTTTTTTTATCCCCTTGCAACATTTAACTTATTTTCATGCAAGAACAAATGAGCCATGGTCTTTTTGTGTGTGTGTGTGTGTGTGTGTGTGTGTGCTTGTGTGTTGTTTTTCTCCATATTAAAATCTTCGTCTTCTTAGCTAGGCAGATCGTGCCTTCTTGTCTATGAAGTTCTTGTCTGTTAATGGGCGCACACCTTGTAAACAACTGGCCATTTGATCCCGTGTCCCGTCTCCCTCCAATTTTAGAACCAAGTGGCCTTTTAATGGGGATGTCCCGGCTGGCATGTCCAGACTTGTCGTACTCTTTTGCCCCCACACCCCACCGCACCCCCATGAATCATGGGGGGCATCTTTGAAAGGATATGCTCAGCTTTCAAGTAAATTGGGCCGTGTTATTTTCTGGGCCTTATTCTTGACAACAGTTACCATGGCGAACATCTTATTATAGTCACATTCAAGGCTCCCATGGCTTATTGTGAGGTCATGATGTCATGAACACAAAATGCGCCCATGACCTCAATGCAGCATGTTTATGTGTTGGGCTACAGTAATCCAGGGCACCAAAGAGGAATGAAATGTCTACATTTCTCCATATGGACTCTATGTTATGACGGACAGCGCTGCTAATAGGCTGAGACATTTATATGGGATAGAAAATAGCTCAAACTCCTGTGGCCCCGGGAAGAGAAGGCAATAGTAATGACAGTCAAAACAGAGAGGATTTATAGTCATGTTTTCCTGTATTTCTTTTCCGAAATCTTTACATTTTTTTAGCTTAGTAATGGTATTGTTTATAAATGTGTCATAAACAGGTTTGGTGCATTGGCTTTATAGTAAAAATATAATTTCTTTATTTGGAGCTTAAGCATTTTTTGTCTTTCTACTCCTGCATCTGTAGCAGTTCTAACTATAGCCCCCCTGCATTCTGCATGTTTGCATCGTTTTTCTTAAGCAGAGGTGAGTGGCTGCAGCAGAGAAAGGGCAGGCGGACAGCACCGTGAGTCCAGCACAGATTCACAGTTGAGTCCGCGCGTCCTAACGAGGTCTTAACAGTTTCACAATCTCTGCAAAAGAAAATATTCCAACAGCGAAATCAATAGGAGCAAATTTGACTCTGCCTCAGTAGATCTGACCTGCGTCAAAGATGCACTCAGACATTTTAAAATATTCTGTTCTGCATCGCAATACAGCTGCACCACAGACATCCACTGCAGACAGCATTGTGTGGGACTTGGCAGACACCCCCTGAAGCATCTTTTGAAAAAGGTTACCTTGTTTGCCCCTTGAGCTATTTTTCGCTCTGCCTCTCTGTCTGGACTCGCTAGTCTGTGAAAATACTCCTCACTAACCTTACCTCCTCCTCTCTCCTTCCCCTCCCGTGTCTGCCATGACATCACAAACGGCAGGTATCCAAAGCAGACGGCAGTAAAATGGGCGTTTGTTTAATAAGCATTATTAACACACCTGCTTTGCAGCACATTCCTGATTACATGGTCTGATGGGATGGGCACTTCAAGTAGGATTAATCGAGCCCGGGGGCACACACCTGAATCCTATATGCGAATACCTAAACAATTCATTATCCAGCTCAAACAAAGAGATGCCGAAAAGTCAAATGGGCATGAAAGTGGGAGTTATGTGCACCAAGAGTTTGGAAACAAAAAGAGGTAAAAGGACAACCCGCAGACCAACGTATAGCCTGCATGCTCTTTTCATGTTACCACTGGATATAGTTGCTCTGCTTTGTCCAAAACAGCCCCAGTTACATGGATTTACCTAACGAAAATGGGTTTGGTTTAAAGCTCACATAGAAGATGTGCATAAATACCCTGGGTATTCATATTTTGGATATTGGAGTGGAGAATTGTCTCTTTTAAGTCCTGACCTAACATTTGGTCTTTAAAGAATTGCTTAGCGATTGCAGTATTAATTCAAATCAGAATTAATCCTGCTCTCAGGAAGAGCGGGATTCTTTTCATGTTGAAAAGTCCTCTGAAATATATTTTCCTGTTTCTTCCTTCATAGATTTGGCTTTGCATGACCTGTGTCAAATTTGTAAAGCTGTTCCTTTACAATTCCCTCTTTCTTCATAATTGGTTTGTTTTTTGTATACTATTCTTCCTGTTGTTTAAGAGGCAGAGCCCTTCAGCTACATCCATCTATCATATACAGTATATATATGAACACCACTTCAAAGTTAAAGTCAATTCTTATGCATGCTTTATCATATTACCAGAAATGTTGTGGTTTTGGGGACGCTTGGAAGCAGATCAGTTAAACATGTACTTTTCATAAAAACATATTACTAACTAATAAAACTAATTACACAAAGTTTTATTAGATATGACAAATAGCGTCAATACATGTCACTGCATGCTTACACATAAAGTCAGGCTTCAGTTTAGTCACTACCCCCGAAGTCATTTTATTATCAGGGAATTAACAAAATAACTGGCAGTATGACAAACCTCCGAAGACCTGATGGCAGCTACTGGGGTGATGCTGCTAGTGTGAGCAGGATGACCCCGATGGGTCAGCTTTTTGGGAGTATGACTCATATAATACTTTGTGTTGACAACCTCTCAGAGCTCTGTGTTTCTCAATAGTTTTGGAAGCAGCTGCCATATCCTCTATATGATGTCTGCGGTTGTTCTGCCTAAGGATCTGGACGCACATCTGAAAAAAGATTAAATAAATAGCTGTATGTGTGTGAAAAGGGAAGCAACCTTTTTGTTAAACAAGATGATGAAGGCTTTTTCTTCCTTCCTGTTTTTATTTAATGACTCCTTTAGTATCTGTTAGGGAACGTTCTGCTATTCAGCATTTACGCTATTCTTTCCTTTTTGTTCGTAATCCTAGCCTGTGGAAATCTGGTGTCTGTTTATCACCTGTAGCAATGAACTACCACTTAGTAACAATAGAGAGGGTTTCATTCCAATCCTCACAATTGTTGTTGAGATCTAGCATGCTTAAGGAAAGCCTTGTAATAATCTCTTGTAATCGAGACCTTTTGAAGCGATAAATGTGTTGAGGCCGCTTATTGTTCACTTGACATGCATGCAAAACATTTAAAAGTATCTTTCAGACCAATGTATGTGTATGGCCAAGTACTGTATTAGAATGGCTAAGATACCAATCTGTGCGCTGGATACAGACCCACAGGGCTTCCATAAAAATAAAAAAAACACAAGCCAGACACACAATAAAAATGAACTTTCTCTCACATAAATTCACATAAATTAGCTTAACTGATCGCAGTGCCACGCGGGTGCTCACCCAGTAAAGTAAGCTTTAACTACTTTGATTAGACGTTTACTTTCCTCATGCAAAATGTACCAATTCATTTCTCCTGATGAGGCCTCGTTATATTAGTCACAGATAATTAGCAGATAAAATTAGAGTTGAGTTCGCCCCTCTTCCACTTGTGTGTTTTATTGCAGATGTTATGATGATTGATACCATAGCCCTCTGCTGGTAACTTCTGCCTTCTGAGGCATTTCATTGGCTCCAAGAATGCCCAATAATCTGATGTGATATTCAATGAAAATAGTACACGGCATTCAATATTACTGTAACAAATCATCATTAAATCAATAGTACCCTGACAGTCTTTCCGATATTACAGTTTTCCTTATTTATTCTCGGATCCGATTAATAAGAGTATTCAAAATCAGTCAGATGTGCTTTTGTAAAATGGGGAAATCTAGAGAAATAATTAGATGATTGTACTCCTTTGGATTCAGCTCAAATCACTTGTGCATTATCTACACAGACACACTCCACTGTAATCATTTAGAGGCCTTCTTGCCTGTCATCATGGATTTCCCCAAAGAGGGGCTCTATGGTTTTGCACATTTGCATTCCATTATAGCAGTGTTATGACATCAAATTATGTATTCCATCAAACAACATCAGCAGAAATCATTTTTAAAAAACAGAAGATACATTAGTCACAGATGTTTCTAGAAACCCCTCACCGTCACATTGGACCTGCATCCACTGAGCTGGTTTTGCTTTTAGTGGAGAGCAGTTGTTGCTTAGGTGTATGAATAGTTGAAATACTTACATCTTATTATTCTCTTACAACGTGCTGCCCCATACAAAGTTTGCCATGTGTAAGTTTTCCACATTTCTGAAACTGATGACAGAATCTTGACATCAGCCTCTCCATCACAGTTGTTTCTGTTTCTGTGAACCAAACTTTGCCAAGCGTGTCAATAAAAGTTAATCATGCTCAGATGTTTTCATACCACTCCTGGACAACACGGCAGCCAGCCACACACTGATGTAGTGCCGTCCACGAAACAAATTGCTTCGTACAGTCGTCCTCCCAGTTGTGTTTAAAAGCGTGCCAGGTCATGTCTTAGTTCTAATTAGGAATGTTTACTGAGTTACATTTAGGTCGATGTTTAAGTTCAAGGTCAGAGGAACGCCACCATTTCTTAGACATTGTGACATAGATAAACAGCTGTCTGCTGTGGGCTGACCGGGTAATTATTCACATGTGTGAAGCAAAGAGCTGAAAGACATCATTTCCAATTTTGGGCTTTGGTTCTGATATTTTTCACCAGTTCTAATCATAATTGCGGCGGTTCCTTTCTCTTAATGGATGGTTGACTGCTTTTTTTTATCCCTCTCCCGGTGTGATCCCTCTCTCACACATCACATGCCACTTTTTTATTGCTCTTTCAAGCAAAACGGACGTATATCCTTGCTACAAAGAAACAGATTCATTTAAATGAGTTAATGGAAACTGCAATGTCTCTTATAGATTGAGAATGCCTGACACATTGAAAGTGATTTATAGTTATATAATCTTTTATATTTCTACAGAAAGTTAATAAGATACCTTTTTGTAATTGCAAGACAGTCAAAGATAAACAAAAAACCGCCCTTGATGATGGATTTTTGGCACAAGCCGCCACTTGACAGCAGCATGAAGCTACCATGTACGGTCTTCTCCCGTTGTATCTGGTTACAGTCTGTACAGGGACACATTTCAGCATTACATTTGTCTCGTTCTTTGCCGACTTTAAATGAATGACTGCCGATGTAGACACATAAATGATAACTGAGCGGATGGACTCAAACAGCAGATATTAAAGGATTCAGGGACTTGAAAGAGTGGCTCAGATGGTTGGTTTACCAGGGATGAGTTGGTAAAATCAACTAATGTTCAGGTTGAAATATTACACGTCTCTTTCCAGGCGGCACAATGCTCTTACTCACCCTCAATGGGTGGTAGACATCCAGATGGCGACTTGAACGTTGCTTTTAGCCATCAGCCGCTCCATACGTTATCTGTATGTGGTGGCGCTGCCAAGCGGCTTCTGCTCTGCTGCAAGTCCTGCCCTGCACCGCTCGTGCAGCCCAGCACATGCCAAGTCTTGCCTCCCGTCTTTGAAGCGTCGGTGAAGAGTGAGCCGACTGTGAATAGTTCTGATCTTGACAAGTATAATTGAGATTTGTCAGGATAACTTCATGTTGACTTAAATATACAGAAAGGGGTGGTGTAAGCGTTGTCGGGGTAACCGTTGAACATGAGGAATGTCTAAATCTGTGGTGCTTATCATAACTGGCATCATAACTGTTTGAAATACCACAATATTGCTTAATTTCCCAAAAAAAAACCTGTCTCCTAAAACTGATGTTTAAGCTGATTTAAAAAAAAAAAAATGTTTATTTAAATGGGATGTTGTTACCATTTTGCTTCATTCATATTGACATGAAGTGTTTTCCATAGTCCCCTCGCCCCAGAAAACTCAAAGAAACGGCATTGGTGTCGGATCTACCACATGCCCGCGACACTCATTCTATTTTCATCGCAGAAAGCGCTTTAACTTTTGATCACACTGCGATGCCAAGCGTCCAGGGCGGAAGTGGCTAGTCAACCACTGTCCTCTGTCACATTTTGCACATGGTCAACTTGCAGGTCTTGGCACACATTGGGTGGTGGCTGTGCTCAATGACTCATGCGGCGCCCGGTGTCTGAAACTTTCGTCAAACGTCTGGCACATGGTGTGTGTGTGTGTGTGTGTGTGTGTGTGTGTGTGTGTGTGTCACTGTGGCCCGTGACGCTGGTGGCTCTAAATTACCCAGTGGCTGCTGATTGGCTGTGCAGAAGATGAGGCACAGGTAAGAGCCAATCCACGAAGCATTAGACGGCAACAACACACTGTGAGCAACTCTGTTACCAAATGGCTCAAACTAACTTGTTAAGATCACCGTTACAATACCTTGCATTTGCGTCATTGCCGGGAGGAAATGTCCTATTACTGCCAGCTCTTTTAGAATAATCATCAGGATGAAAGCTGGATACCAGTAACAAAAAAAAAAGTGTTTTCTCTTTTAACCTTTTACAACACATGCTGGCAGCATAGGCTTTCACTGACCTTTAAACTGTGTTATGTGATATGTTTTTCAGACCGCTTAAAGATCTCTTTTTCTCTCTCTTTCAGCAAGGGGTTCGAAAGGACAGTAAAGGCATTCTCTCAATCGTTTTACAGTTGACAGCTTCCATCCCTCAGAATGTAATACATTAGAAGTGAGTTCCTCTGTGAGTATTGTTGAGAGAAAGATAATGATGCACCGAGATAAAAAAGATAAACAAAGAACATTCTTCCCAAGGAGGATACGTGTCTGTCTCCCACTATTGTTGTTGGAGGGCTCTCCGATATGATATAATAACACAGCTTTTTTTTTAAAGCAACTCTGATCCAGTCATAAGTGCGTGGTGCTTTTGCATGTGGTGATCTCATATTTCTTTGACCAGCCTCATGACGCACTGTGTGAAAGGTGATTTCTGTCCTCCCTCTGCTCGGTGAGGACTTTTTGTAAAAGGCAAGGCGGGTGGTATCAAAAGGAGGGGGCACCGTTGCTCTTCTCAGCTGGTCTGCAAACACCAACAAAAGTGATGCTATGCTTATCGCTGCACAGCATGTTAGTGTTGCGTTGGCTTGCCCGTTGTTTTTTTTCACATACCTCACTGCCGGAATAAGCTTTGGTCAGTGCTTAATCATCACAAGGACAGTCTGCGAGACATGACCCATCCCGGTACTTTCATCAACGTTTAATTGTTATCAGTAACACAAAGTTCTTTCGCTCAGTGCAAATGAGTTATTTGCATCTGTTGTCAAGGAGTCCAGTAATCTTGCAAAAGAAAAAGTCAGCCAATTTCATTTTTCTTCCTCTCTCTGTAGAATAATAATTAAGAGAAATTCCAAAAGGGCTCATTGCCAGCCTTGTAAAGATGAGATCATTGTACTATGTCAAATTATCTCCATCAGCTAGACTGCAAAAAGATCGGGGCTAATGAAAAATTACAACTCAAGTGCAGTCAGCATTTCAAACAGACATTCTTTTAACACTCTACTAAATTCCCAATAAGAGCTTTCTTCGGGATGCCAAATGAAGACGAATGGGCTCTAAAGTTTAAATGTCCAGCTGCTCCATAGAAATTACTAGTGCATAGTCACACCGCATCAGCATGGAGACCACTGGCATCACTTGGGCCAGTGCTGATGTATTTCACAAACAAATGTCAAGGATCATAGCCAGCTCGGTGGTTGTTTTTTTTTTCCCTCTGATCTGTGGATAAGAAAAAAGCTAAAATAACTCGTAAAGTCGTAGCATAACGACAGCATATTTGTGGCATCGGTTAGATCACATTTCATCACTGTGTGCTGAGTGTGCAGATGAGACTGATGGAGGTTCTGTGCAGGAGGACAGGGGATGAACAGCAGGAAATCAGACAGGCGGGGTGGGGGGGGGGGGGGGGGGGGCCCCCGGGCTCCCTGGCCTTGATAATTGGCCCAAAAGTCAGCGCCTCTGATAGCTCTCTCTGATAGCGTCTCTTGCTTTCTCTCTGCCCCACTCTTTCTCTCCTTCATTGTCTCTTTCTCCCCCTCTTTTCCCCCCCCCCCCCTCCCATCCCTCCTCTCTGTTCGCTCCCAGTGAGTGTAGCCAGCTAGCTGCGGATGCCAAAATGCACCACCGCCGCCTCCCTGCTGCATCTCACCCCCCTCTTACCTCACGTCTGCTCTTTTTCCAGACAAGCGGGTTTAAAAAGTCAACTGCGTATTGAGCCGTCTAGACTGAAGCTGGTCAGCAACCAGCCCTCCCCACCCCCAAGTCCCCTCTCCCAGCCCCACGCTTGTGAGTCGCTGGCTACAGTGGAAAAACGGACAAGGAGCAGGTGCCCTTGCTGAGCTCTGTCCCCCATTTCTCGCCAAGTGCAAAATGGCTTTATGGTCACATGATACAAACATATTGACTGCAACATAGCAGCGTACTAGAAGCCAAGCTCAAGGGGGTCATTGTCCAATAGATCTCCTTTAACTATAATCTGAGATGTGTGAATTTACAGTTGGTGTTCTTTTCTGTAAGGAATTGACCTCACAGTACAGGAACGTTTTTATTCTCATTGCTTTTGTAAAATGTAACATGGTTCTAGTTTTTGATAACAAAGACGAATTCTTCTGAGGCCTCTTTCTTTACGAGGTGTTGGCTTTTTAAATAAGGCCACACTGTCCTCCAGATATATAAAATCTAAGTGCTGGCTTCAGTTTGAACGTCCCACTTTGCTGCCTGTTACTCTTTTGATGTTGAGTTTTATGGGTTATTTTTAACTTCCTGTTTTGGATACCAGTCGCAACAAACAGTGCACAAACAAATCATTTGGTTTTTAAATCTGCTGTAAGAATCTGGACACGGTGAGGAGAGAAATCAGTCCTAACCCCACGGCTCTCACGCTCCATTCGCACCGCTGACCGAGAAACTCTGAAGAATGCGCTGAACTCTCTAATACACACTAAATGAAGGGCCTTATCTGACACAGACATGTTTGCAATCATTTTACACAAGCTGCGGAATATCCGGGGCGGCCGTGTGTTTTCTGTTGCCTCCTGTCAGTTGATTAGGTGCACTGTGTGGCACCCCGAAGTGTGACATTCCATGTAAAGCAGCGCGTGATAGGTTTTTAAGAGGTGTCTCCAGCCAGCCGGCGGCCCCGCCATGTGCAGTTAGATGGCTCTGTACTCCCTGTTAAAATGCAGTGTTGACAGCTTGATTTTCCAACAGAAAACGTGACCAACAATTAAGCCGTGTTTAAATGACAGTCTGCCTTTGAGTCAGGCAGCCAGTCCCCCTAATCGCTCAGTTTGATCATATACAATGCAACTAGATGTGGAGTTGTTGGACCCCGATGAATGTTGAATTATATTGAGTTGTTTTGGTTTGTTGATATAATTTATTTCCCAGTTCTTGGCCGTTGTCAGCTCTAAAGTATCTGGTCAGAAAGTGCAGCAAATATCGTTGCTTGAAACTAAAGGATGGATCTGTTGGAATTTTTGACTATACCATCTTCCAAAGTGGCCCCCTTTTTTTTTTTAAATCAGACTGCACTACTGAGAGGTTGTGTCCAGATGTTTTAGCCTGTAAATATAACGTTGATAAACTGTGTGCCATTTTTACTGGTACTGTAGCGGACGTTTCCATAGTGCCTATAAAACCTCTGTTTTCATTTGTAGTTTGTGAGTGATCACAAAAAGAACCGCCAGCCCTAAATGTCAGAGCAGGAGAGATCTCCCAGTCCCAGTGCTTTATCCATTCCAGCTTGGGAGGTGAGGGGTGGAAAATCAGTCAAGATGCAAATACTGATTACCCTCAGGAGAATGTGTGCTAGAGCTTTGAAGCGCAATATGTGAAGTTACTTAGAAACTTCTCGTTTCTTTGATGGTTTATCTCTCTTATATCTTTGTCTGCGCTGCCAGAGCACTCTTCCCGCCCACCTTCATGCATGCTTTCTCTCCTTTTCTCACTCATTCGGCCTTTCTCAACCTGTCATTCCTGGGCTAGTGGTCTGTCCCCCTGTGGGGTTAAGGGGCACTGTGGGTGAGAGGGCAGCCGGCAGGTTGTGTGGGCACTGTGCTCGGCTTTTCCCATAGCCTGCGTCAAATGCCGCTGAACCCTGACCCCAGTGGGTCCTCGCTCTCAGAATCGGTGCGGAGCACAATTCAGCAAGCCAGACCCTATTCAGGACTGGACTTTCCACCAGAAGAGAAAAGAACGCCCCCGTCCCAATTGTGATCAACGGCCCTCCCTTTGTCTACTGGTCAAGCAGGGTCGGACGACCGGCCGCCACTAGCCAGAACAAGACTTCCGAAAAGCCTATTCAGCATGTGATTTGACCCCAGGTTGCAGTGCTGACTCACATGGATCAAACGCTGGGAATCTCGGGGGGTTCTCCTCCATTGAGGTTTTCATCCATTGAAATGTACCCTTTCACAACTCAAATTGACAGATTTTTTTTTCCCTCCGAGTTTGGTGGCACGGCACCGTTTTACAAACGAAGGGCTCCCAGAAAATTTCCATTCAAAGCTTTGCAGAAGTTTTTTATAAAAATGTCTCTCTGTCTATAGTAATTACGTTAACGCGGAGTGAATTAGAAAAGGGATGAGGAACAGTTTTTGGCCTTTACATTTGAGGCTTTTTCACTGTTTGTACCCTTTTGATTTGCTTAATAGGCAGAGGCAACACTCCTCCAGTGTAAGTAATTCATGTATGAAGCTTCCACAATCTTCTTTTTTTAATTTTATTTCCATGGAATATGTTTCTTAGCAAAGTTTATTTTAGATCACCCAAAAGGGTTGTCACTTTTTATTTGTAGTCTCAACGTTTAAAATGCAATGACTGTTTTCAGTGTTAAGTGCATGATTTCATAGAAGGGGTTGTACAGTCTTAAGTAGTTTTCCTTGGCATTCACCTAAGGACTCAGAGGAATTTAAGCTGGACAGAATGCGTTCTCTTTTACGTCTTTGGTGATCTAATAAAGATCAACGTATAGAAAACTAACAACTAAAGCTGCTTTGAGTTTCTGGCAGAAGAAAGCAGTGGCAGATGAAACCAGATGTTGGGCCATCTTAATGTAGGCAACTTAAATAGCATTTGCAGGACAGCAGCTGCTGCTTTTTCTGTCCTCCAGCCAGCATCAGGGAGTCACGAACATCCTCAGCCGTCTCAAAGTTCAATGCTTACGCGCGGCTAATCCAGACGTTTCGGAGGGCGTGAGTGTGCAGGTGTGCCCCGCACATGGATTTCTGACCTGAGACACGATAAGCACTGTAGTTCCAAGTAAACACATTTAATCCTGAATATATTTCTTAATAAAAAAAAAAAGATTTACGTAATTAAATAAATGCTGATATCACTGTCGTTGCAAAAATTCCTTCTTGCTATATTTTTGGAAGAGGTGACGGCTCTATCACTGGCCAACGTTTGCGTCTACGTGGGAGCAGAGAGCTGTGTGTGACAGTGTGTACAGACTCCAACTTGAAGCCCGGTTTAAATCTTTAGCAGAAGGGGAGCACTTTGATTGTAATGCCGCGTGCTGTGTGCTAAAGCGGGGGCCCGCTGCAGCTTTCAAGCTGGTCAACTGTCAGGACTGGAGCGTGAAAGGAGGGCCTCGGAGTGAAAGGGGTAGAGGCTCCCATTAGGGGGGGGGGTGAGGGGGGTGGGGGGTCTTGGAGGAGGAGGGGTGACTTGTGACAGACCTCCTGGGCTTTGAAGGCCCTCTGTGTGGGCTGCTACAGCAAGGCAGGCCCCTTCACAAGGAGAAGAGAGAAAGGCTAAGGCGAAGTGGCCGGCACATTGGCCCCTCCAGCAGGGAGCATGGGCAGGATGCCAGCTCACTCGTTCAAGTCCCATAGACCAGATGTTCCTTGTCAGGGAGCTTTTGGACTTTAATAAATTGAGTTACTCTATCTGTAATAAGGCAGGGCAAACATGGGCACCGTGCCCCCCCCCCCCACCCGTCCAACACACATCTTGATACTCTGCTCTCTCAAACTCCTTTTTGTCATACATGTCAAACTGTGGTGAAGGGAGCATGTTCAGGCACTGAACCTGGTGATTATTTTCCATTCTGCGGATGTTTTCCGTACCCTTTGCCGACCCTTTATTCAAACTGGTAAAAAAAAAAAAAAAGGAGGGGGGGGGGGGGGGGGCTTCCATGCTTCTGGCCAGCAAACTCCCTCAGTTTTCAATCCTCAGTCCGTGATATGTGCCATCACTACATTACAATGCTTTTTGAGATGATTTGACAGCTGGTTGACAGTAACAATATACAGTCCATCAAACAATTTTCACACTTGTTTAAAGCAATAAACTGCATTTCACTGCACACGATCCTTTGTTAAACATTTCTTTTGTATTTTATTCACTGTGAAAACGGAAAACAAGTGCAGAAATGTAAAGACAATTTCATCACATTCCGCTTCGGCTGGATGCTGACAACAGTGAATGATACGGGGGTTCTGAAAAAATAAAATAAACCAACAAAAACACCCAGCATCTGTTGCTGCCTTTACAAGACTTAAAGTCCTGATTATTTATGCAGCAGCCAAAGTGTTTGGAAGTCCTCTGACCTGCTGCAAGAAAAATACATTAAAATAAATGCCTCTGAGCTTGTAAAAACAAAGCCAAAAAAGGCCCTACCTGTTCATTGTCCAAATGGGAATCTTCTCATGCATGTCTTTCAGATATGTTTTTACAGAATCTCCCGCGTGTGGAAAGAACATTATCACTCTGCAAGCTCCTAAACGCAATAGCATTGTTTCAAAGCCCATACTGCAGGAGTCTGTAAGAATGTCTCCTGTGCATCCCAGATTTACAGCACCTCGGAGGATGGCTCTGATCTGGCAGTGATCAGTTACCTTTGAAGAAAAGTGCTCAGTGAGTGAATCACTTTGAACCTGTAGCTGAGCTGAACCCAAGGGAGAGCCACGGTCTCACCTGAGTGGAACGGCACCGTAAATCTACAGGCCGCACAGTTTTTCTACTGTGACAGAGGGACTTCAGACTGAATTTGTTGGCTGCAGAATCCCTGTTTCAACAGTTTTTCAGCTCTGGATGGGTTCCAGGGTGGCCTCAATGCTTTTTACATGCTGGCAAAAACCCGGACTATTTTCCCATCAAATGAAAGGGCTGAAATTAAATTTCTGCACTTCCCATCTTGATTCCCAGGCTCCATGTTTCTTGCCTGTGTTTTTCAACCCGTGCATGCATCAGGCATTATGCACGTCTCTGAATGTGCCTTTGCATTCCACATCTCTCTTTCATCCAGCTGAACTGTGCACGCCAGCCTGATGTGGGGCTTGGTCTTCATAAAGCATCTGGACGGCCCCTTAAAACGCCGTATATGTTACGTGTTGTAGATATTTTAGATGCTCCACATTTGTAATATCTTCCTTTTGTTTATTTTGGAAAGCCCGGAGCGAGGCTTGTAATGTAGCATAGTGGCAGCATGATTCCGATTTTGTTGGCTTTGGAGCTGCAGACTTCCTGTGTGGTTGCTGCAGATTTATTAACGACATCCCTTACAGTGTCGAACAGCACTTGTTATGTTTTCCTTAATGTTTCATACTAGAAAGTGTTTGCAAAGTATTGGATGTTTTTTTAATATTTGCATTATTTTTTTTCTCTTAAGATATCCTTAACAAGAGATTGAAACACAGCTGTTTCCATTTCCAGAGTGAAATTCCATCATCGTGAAAGAATAATTGCAGCATGCTCTGTTAAACCTGATTAATGGACTGACAAACTGACCTGTCTCCCAATATAACTGCATGTGTTGGTTTCCTCGTCCATAAGATCGGTTGCAAGGGGCTCACAGACTGTAGATTTTTCACCAGACTTGACCCCTCACTCATCTTATTGATCTCTGTCAAGCAGTTCCAGCCATCACACAGACGAGTCTGTCTTTCATCATTAATTCTACACCGATATAGCTCCCTGCGGTCAATTGTGTTTGCTAACCCTCTGGATTAGGAGAACAGGCAGCTCTTCCTCTGTCTGCTGTAATATTGCATGCCAGACATATCAAGGAAACGTAGCTGTCAAAGTTTTAATAAAGTTTGCTTAGTATTCCAAGTCTGAACACCTCCCTCTTTTTTCCTCATGCTCCCCTCTATGCTAGTGTCCTGACCCCGTGTGTCTCATTTTCATGGTTGTAATTCCTCTGTAATTGCTGACTCAACAACTCCTGTTCAACAGAAGGTGAGATAAAAACACGGTAATCACTAAGGCCGATTTCAGGCAGATTTTTTACATTTTTTTCACATTACACGTTAGCTGGCTTTTTAAAGTTGTAGCAACCCCCCATGGTATTTTTGTGGGACACTCACCATTGGGTTTGGCCAAAAATGAGACCTCAAATTAGCTGTGCGAACAAGGATTAATTGATAATTGAGGAGTCCTCTGTCAGGGCTTACCACTCTGCCTCTGTGGAAACGCTGAAATCCTCCACAACATTTGAGAGGTTCACGTCAAATTAGACACAAATGCCCCTAGTCTCAGGCTTATGCTGCAAGAGGGTCGCGGTTGAGAATTCAGCAAACTGGGCAATAGAGTTTAGCCGTGCTTTACAGTGCAATGGAAAAACACCGGAGGTTGGTACTGTTACTGTATACGCCTCACTCAAATGGGCCACTTTCACTGAACAGGTGATGGGGTCATTATCTACCTTGAGTAAGGCCTGGGGAAGTAATCCCCTAAGATGCAAAACCTTGGGTCTATTACTGAAGGTGTTACACCCTTACTTAAATAGGCTTTAGGTTTAACTTACTGGCCAGTGGGCTGTTTCATTTGACACCTCCCGCAGTTTGCGGTGCAATGTTTGTTTTTTCACAGGCCTCCTAAGTGTTTCTCTCTTGGGGACCCCCGGGCTTTCTCATGTCTTTAAGGCTCTTTAGGTAAGCCGGAAAAGCAAACAAAGCATATCTATTATAAGGTGAGTGGATCTCACATTACCCTCCCATTTCATTGCAGTCGCCAGTACGGGCCACTTTCCAAGTGACTGATATCTTCACAGGGGCTAACATGTCCAGGGATGGTGTAATTGATTGTCTTGGATATTTGAGTATGCCACTTTCCCTCTTTGAGAGACCCACTATTGCTTCCTGCCCCGGCTATATAGCTCACTTATGTGTAGACGTTTTAACACGATTGTGAAGCTTGACAAAGTCGTAATACATGTAAGGACAAGCGAGTTGTGTCCCTCGAGGCATGTCAAACTTTTTATGCATTTTATAGTGAATATGTCAGTTGTTTTGAGTGATAGAAAACAAATACATACACGTGTGTTTTTGAGCTAGCCCTTCTGAGCTAGACTTGACAAAACTGTCCCGCATGAAAATTGAGAAAATGTAGTTTTCTTTAACGATACTTATCTACAGCAGTTTTGTTTTTTTTAAACTGAAAAAAGCTACATCTGCTCCATCTGGCATTGCTGTTAACTTCGGCTAGAACAAACTCTAGATTTCCCAAATCTGTGGACATAGCACAAACCCACTGAACCACAGTAAGAGCTTTTATCAGAATTATCCTGGGCATGGTATGTTAATGTCACCCTGTTTCCCTGGCCCTCTGCCATGGCACTCCTAAGAAGGCACTTAACACGAATTACTCAGCACAAACTTCCCTGCATAAGAACTGCATGAGTCTTATAGAGCAGCGATAAAAAACAAAAAAAAAGACAAGAAATTGCCACGCAAGAATGGCTTTGATTTCAGGGTTGGTAAATCACCTGTGTGGAAATACGGCAACAGACCTGGGTCACAGTTAGCTGCAAACTAGTTGCTGGTATTTTTCACCTGCTCCTGAGATACCGTTTACTCACAATCAGTTGTAGGTTTTTTTCTTATGAATCCTTTTATTCCCCTGTGTGACAGTTAGCAGATTTTATTGCATTCTGGGCTGCTTGATGGAGAGATGCTGTATGGATTTAGCATGTGAACATCAGCAAGACTGTTGATTTAGTCTTTTTTCCCTCCCTTTATGGAACTGGAGACATGTTATGCGAAGCATGCTTGACTTGTAGACGTTAATAGAAGGACCATGAACATATTTAGGAGCAGATGAAGGATCCCATGAGTTATTTGTTCTTGTTTTTTAAGGCATCATCATATAACAAGGCATTTGAACACTATACCACCTGCTCACTGCTTTGAATCCACACCAACAGAACAGGATAGAACTTTGTCTTGTTTTCTCCCAGAAGGCAGCATCACTAAACCCCAAGTGTAGAAATGGGCTTCCTCTCTGGTCAGTCTTCTCTTTTTGTGTTTTTTGTTTGGCCTGTCTGCCTCGGTGGTTGGTTTAGTTGGTCAGGAGGTCAGAGCAGAGCCCTGTAGACAGCCGTTAAAGCTCTCTTTGCGTTGCAGCATATCCTCTTGACTCTGCATGTTGCCAAAAGTGACCATCACATGCTATAATCTGACATGGCTCATGGAGCCACTGGATGCACGTGCCATGCATGCCCATCAGCTGTCTTAAGAAGCATGAAGTAGGCTTTCCAGAGTAGGAGTTTAAGCTTAGATGACTAGCTGTGTAACCACTGGGTCACAAACTGTCAAACCAAAACAAAAAAAGAAAAAAAATCCAGCCAACTAATTTTGAAGAAAATCAACAGTTTATGACGACAGTTTTTGGAATTCTTTTCAGTGGAAGCTCAATTTAGTTTATTTTTGGTTGTTTACAGGATCTACATACAGACCCAGGGAATATTATTTTGAATACTTTACTAGTACACCCAAGTGGCCCAGCATCTCTTCCTCATTCAGTTGTTATGTTTTATCAACACATGACATCTATTTAGCTGGTGCTTTTATTCACAGTGATTAGGAACACAGTTTATGGACAACACAGACTGTAGTGTGTGGTTTGAGGACACTAAAATGTAAACTTTGCAAAGGAGGCTCTTGGAAGAATTCCCTCTTGTGGTTTTGTTACAGTCATCTCAGATGAACTTAACAGCTTTCATTATTTCTGTATATATGGGAGGTGAAATGAGACGTCAACATGTCAAATCTCAAATGAAAGCTCCCTTTAATTACCCTGTCGGTGTAAATAAGAAATCCGGCTTGTTAACATTCTCTGTCAATGAGAATGCACAAAGATCAAGCTAACGGTAGGCCTGTCGGCTGAGTCTTATAACTGCCATTACCGGCAGGAGCAATAGTTAATGTGACTGTAGCTGAGCAGGAGAAATATAGTTATTAGACTTCAAAAGACTGATGATTCTTTGACACCCTTATGGATGCGTAAGCCGCTTTCTCCCATGAACAAGACGAGGCCACTGTTCTCTATGACCTAGAAGAAGCTAGACTGGATGACCCAGTGGTCATCCTAGAAGCCATCTGGCCACCCATGTCTTGTGTGGCTTACCCATCCCACTGCCTCACGCAATTCCTTAAGCAAGCATAAGTGTACTTAGGAGGACTTAATCTCAGAGAAACTGGTTTGGGCTACACTTGTTGACTCCCAGTGTGGGTACACCCGGCTGTTAGGTCATGGGGTTCCTTTAGTCATGTAACACTGAGACAGCTTTTTTGGCAGCGTGTCCCGTCCGTCTGTTGTGGGATTTAAATCTCTTTATTGGTCATGCCTTGCCAATAAAATGTAGCCCGCGTATAGGTGTCTGCATCAGATAACCTTTCAATAAATGGATTATTTTTTGACGTGACAGGCAGTTTGTGTTATGAGCACACAACTGCCAAAACTTTGTGGCTGTCATGTGGCACAGTATCAGTGTCAGCGGCAAGATAGGCTGCTGGACAGAGTTAAGGAGGGTATTTGTCACCTTGTGAGATGTTCCAGGGTGTGTTCTTCTGGCCCGTGAGGCAAGGAGCAGAAGTGAGAGAAGCTAAAACATGTCTGCACTTGCACAGAGGTCACTCTTGGCCTTTTGACCGTCTGCCAATGCAGGGGCCAGTGTCCTCCAGAAGAGGGCCTTGGCTACAAGCAGACACATAAGCCAGCCAGACAGGCAGCCAGCCACATCGTCTGCAGTCTAGGTCTGGGACTAGAGCCTGGACTAGGGCGGCTCAAGTTACCCAGACAGATTTGTTAACACTGTTTGGGTCCGCTCGGCTTTCTAGCCAGGCCTCTGAGCCAAACACGGCTGAGGTGACTTAATCTGTCATTAAACTCACATTACACCCGGACAGAGACTCGGCTCAGGGGGGCAGAGACGGCACTCACTCTCCCACTCACTGGCATGGCTGGCTGGGTTTAAGCAGACACAAAGAATACACCCCCTCCTCCTTTCCATCCTCTTCATGCCACACACCATGGCACAGCTAGACAGCCCAGCATGGTCTAGACAAAAGCAATTTCACTTGAAGTTGAAAAGTCATTTGGCTGTGTGATGGGCATTGTGGATCTCTTGGTGTTGACTGAGTGCACAAATGTGTATCTGTTCTCCTGCAATTTATATTGCTTTTTCCTGCTCTATTTTTCACCACACCAATTATTTTTGAAAAGTGGCTAGATTAAATCGTAAATGGCATGTTTTGTATATATCCTTTGTCGGGATTCTCCACATCCATTCATCATGGCAAGAAACCAGAACGCACATGGGAATATGCACTTCACTCTCTTCTATTTTACATTTTGGACGGATTTGTATTAGATATCAATCTCGCCGTTTGACTACTGTAATTCTCTACTTTTTATACGATCAATGGGATTTTACTATCAAATCTGTCAGACTCAGCATGAAATACATGAATAAGATGAATAAGATTTTATTCTATTTATTCTACTTTTATTCCCTAACAGTAAAGATTGGTCTAGTGGTCTAGAGAACAGGAGGAGATGGTTGAGCTCTGCTCCTATCAGGCAAGAGAATTGCTTCCATTACTCTCAGCTTAAAAATGTCAGAAGCCCTAACGACCTGCAGTGCCATCAGTGGAGGTCTAAGACTTTGTTTCCCTCTCCTGAGAGTTGTTTTTTACGTAACAGCTGGTTCTGGTTCCTGCACGACCCCCAGCACCACCCGCTCCCCCCTCCTCCTCTGCAAATAGCTGCCAAAAGCCAACATATGAACTTTATAATTAACTGTTACAAAGACCAGTGCCAAGCCAGCATATTTCTCAGATGAAGGGGCTTCTTTGTTTCTTTTACTCGTCATCTATTTAGCTCCACCACCCCCACCGCCACTCCATTTTGTATTTGGTTCAAGACGTTATCAAGATAGAGATTCAGAATGTCAAAAAACAAAAATCAAATAGATTTTTGTGGATGGCTTGATGAAATTCACCTGGTATGATGATAAATGGCAAAGCGTTGTTCCTTTTATTTAAGTAATCTGTGGATTAAGAAACGTGTCTATTGAAATCCTATGTGCCGTGTGTGGTCAGTTTGGATGGTCCGGAGTGAGCAAGGCTAATTCAAATGACCACGTTGTGTTTCTGGTTGCAGATCAAGAAGTACTTTGAGCTGGAGCCGCTGGCCCGGGGGAAGCGCTGGATCCTGGAGGGCTGCTCCACCGACAACATGGAAGCCGTGAAAGAGAGCTTTGGTCAATTCATTAGCCTATTGGAAGACAAAGACACAGAGCCTGCGAGGATATGACGCTACCACTGCTGACGGTGACGGATATTAGTGGCTGACAACCACCACGTCCTGCTAGTGCCCACGTCCACACACCCACGCACAGACACCAACATTTCCCCTCAAATGAAGGCAGCAGGCGTCGGGTCCTGTTTGAGATGTATATTGTGTGTCCTCCCCCTCCTCACCTGGTCTCTGTTTTCAAATTGGAAGAATGTTCAAAAGCAACAGTCAGCCGCTGCTAGCTGACAGAGGAGAGCCGGCAGGGAGCCCCACCAGGTTTCAAGAAAATGTCATCAAACTCTGCAAACAAGGAAAGTCCTGTTTACTGCTGTTTGTGCTACTGTGATGTGATCAGAGGCATTTAGGACACGTGGTAATCCTGTAATCACCTCAAACACTAACACACACTCACATTCTTACAGACGTGCACACAGTGGACCCCGAATATTCCGAAGATATGTTTAGCACCTCCACTAATTACTTTGCAGGATGTTTTGGGGAGCATGGTTCATGTTCTTTCCTCCGAGAAGTCGATGGCTGTCAGGCGCGCTTCTCCTTTTGTAACACCGAATGTTGTGGTGTGACTGGAGTGAATAGTCCAAAACCTCGTGTGATGTACGGTAGTCGCATATCGGTGTGTCACACCATGTCTCAATATCTAATCCGAGTAGCGTGGTCTGAGTAGCTCATGGAGTATTAAGTACATGCTAACAAGCATGTTGCTTGTTGCTGCGTAGCCTCCTGTGCAGCCGTACACAACTATGTAATACTAACTGACTTTATGGAGATCTGAGTCCATGTGGACAAAGTGGGAACAAGTCTGAAGGCTTTTATAAATGTGCAACGTAGGTTATATTTTCTAGCTCTGTATGTTAACCCTGTAGAGCGATGTTCATATTGTTTTATATATCAAGCATACTTGTCACACTTATGAATTCATTCAAATTGCTGATTTAAAAAGAAAAAAAAAAAAGATTGACTTGGCTGAATGGAGCCTAAACTACAAAGTAATGTAATAACTTTTCTGTGTTTTTAATGTTGAGCAAATGTCTGTTGGTTTGTTTTTTCTTGTATATTTGACACAATCTCTAAATGCTTGGTTTGGGACTGCAGTTTCACATCAGTGGAATACAAACTATCAATCAGCCACAGCAACAGCTGCATCTGACACCTTCCTGTCCGACACCCTAATGCCTTCCAACTGTCTGGAGACCCCTCCCCGTCTGCGGCCCCGGCTCATCCCAAGCTGCTCTGCCCTCCATACCAGCCCCGCTCCATGTCCCCATTACTTTTATGTCCCCCCCCTCCTCCTCTTTTTATTCCCGATGCCCTCTCAGCCCAGGTGCCCTCACACAGACTCAGAACCTCTGATATGAGTCGGGATGGATCGCTGATTGTGCCATCTTGTCCCCAAGATGTGATTCAGTAACAAAGTGTTCAAACATGGTCTTTATGTTTGTTTTTCCGTCAGTATTTTGTCAGGTTTGTAGAGATTTCATTTTTGTATCTGATGTAGGAACTGAGGCGATCAATGCATTTATTGGCTTAAATGCAAAATAAATGTCAGCTGGTTATTGTACCAGTGTTGGACTTTTCATATCATCTGCTCACACAGATTACCGATGTTCTTAAACTGCAAGCTGTTTTTTTTACTTCAATCATGAATTTAGTTCAAAATGGAAATTAAAGTTTTAAAGATTGAAACACTGTCAGCTGTTATTTGCTGCGAACTGTGTGTCTGTGTGCTGCATAAAGCCTCCTCATTTTTAAACTAGTTCTGTAAAATTGTCCAACTGCTTTCTGTATTTATCCTCCACAGATAAATTCTCCATGTGCAATTCATGTTTGAAGTTTGAAAGCTGGACTTAAGTAAGACCTGGTAGAAACTGAGCACTAGGGTCGGATTAAGGTGAATGTTCAAACAACAGAGTGTTTGTTTTTTGTGTATTAATTCAGAATACGGCCTTTCATTTCTTCCTTAAGATATATTTTCTCCAGAGTCGCCGGATTTGTAAATTGAGATGGCCTTTGGAAGTCTGAGAAGATGGAGGAAAGCACAGATGAGCTGGTGGAGTTTGAGCCAAAGTTGGAAGAATGAAAAGCGATCAAAGTTCAGCAGCTGAAGAAAGTTTCAAGTGGAAAGTTAACCGAGTGAGACAGGAGTTCCTGATAAATATACTCTACTCTGCTACCTCTGCCTCCCCTTTTCTTCTCCTTTTGCCCTTCTTCCCTTCTCTTTCAAATTAACCGTGTGGCTTTAATACAATGTGTGTCATGCAGGTTGCCCTGGCGACTCTTTGATCCTGTTTTCCAGTCTCTGCCTCTGGGGCAGACGTGCTTCTCCTCAGTCTGCTGCACACCAGCTCTGGAAGCTGTTGCAGCCCTGAGACAAACCATGGGCTGCTGCGCTCGTCTCGCTTCCTTTTATTTCTTCCCCTTGTACTCACTTCTTCTCTGTGTTAAGCCCTTCTTTCTCCCATTACATTTCTTTTTACATCTCTCCATCTCTCTGTCTGGTTCTTACTCGCTCGGCTTCACTTTGGTCACACCAAAACAGCCCTCGCTCAGCATGAGCGTCCAGGGAAGGGAAGAGGCCCGGACCCCAGTGAAGCAGCAGCATTCCCTCCTGAAAGAAGAAGTAGAGGGGAGACGTGGAGGCTGTCTGTGCAGTTGATTCATTTATGCTGAAGAAACAGGCAGTCCCGTCCTCCCACATTCAGTCTTTACTTTCTCTGCCCGTTTAATTGCTGTTCAGGGAAGACCTCGGTAGGTAGAACTCTCACGAAGCTGTTTTGTTATGTGATAATACAGTAACTGATGAATATTGTTTACTCTGATGGATACAGAACCTCGAGAAATATCCAGTCTCTGAAGGGTTTTTTTTCTCCCCCGTTTTGTAATTTCCTAAAATGAATGATAACGATCGCCTCAAGGGCAGGAAGACACCTTAAAAAGCTCAGTACTATGGCAGCTCTCACTATCAGTGAATGAATGAGTCACTCACCGTGAAGAAGCCAACAGAACTTATGTGGAAGAGATCAAAGCTTCCAACCACAAACAGTTGACCGGCATGCGATACGGCAGCCTCCGTCCTCGTTTATCGTTTGTCTCTCTGGTTTTGAGTTTCTGACGTTGAAAGTTCCAATTCACGTCATTTTCACCCTCCCCTCCCCTTTTCGGTTTAAGTTTGTGTACGGTGCGTTCAGAGCACACTAACAACAACAGTCAACAGGAAATCTATCAAGTGTGCACTCGTTTTAACACTTTAAGAGTATTCAGGACCTTTTTTGTAGGGACTGGAGAGGAAGTCCTGCAGGTTTAGGAAAAATAATCTTACCTTCACTTGACTGAATCTTTTCCAGCTCGATCAATCACGTCTAGACTCAAACATCTTTTTTGTTGTTAAAGGAATACTGTGTCATGTACATCAAAGTAACCATCTGATGAGTCAAATAAAAGACAGAAATAAATCAAACAATAAAAATCAGTAATTGTTCCTCAAAGAAAAATGCATCACACACTTGAAGGCATGAATGTGTCGGAAGAGATGCATTTGTCTTTCATTTTCAAATGGCTGAATACTCTGGAACATTTCACATACAGCCATTTATCTACTGAGCATTTAGAAAAAGTGGTTGCAAATATTGTTCTTAAAGCAACGAAAGTGTGACAAGTAGGGTCTAATGACCTCCACAACTAAAAGCAAATGCTATGAAACACCACAGACTGAACCCTGAGAACCTGGTGAAATGCAAACGCGGGACTCGACGGGGAACCCGACTTTCGTTTACAAGACAAACAAAAGCAGGCATGTTTCCTTAAACTCTGCAAGCAATGGCTTTTTCTCTTCCTCCAGCATGTGTGACGGCATTTCTCCTGATAAGGCCCGGTCGGGAGGTAGAACAGATGCTGCCCTGACATCCATCTGGGCCCTGTACCCCTGCTCTGCCTCCCACAGCCGATGCCCTGCGCAAGACACCTACCATTGTTGGCCCCTCACAGCGAGGGGTCGCTCCCACCAAAAACCAAAAGCTCCCCTCCTCGGGATGGCCGGCAGTGTGATGCTGCACAGAGAGCGGCTCTGACGCTGCTTTCACTCCCCGTTGCATGTGAAAGAGATACCGGCCTTTTATCAGATGGGACCTCTGGGTTCTCTCGAGGTGTTTCCTCTCTGTTTCAACACTCTGTGCTTCTCACACAAACCCCTTTGAAAAGCAAACACGAGTGACGGACAGCAACAGAGTGATGCAAGCTAGTGAGGACTTGTTTCCCCAGACCGAGTAACTCTTTACAGATATGTGAGTTGTTCGTTTCCACGGGTAAAAATAAATGCTTGTGTGTGGGTTTTTTTTTGTTTGTTTGTTTTTCTTTTTTCTCCCAGAAACTGGAAGGAGGAGTCTGAAGATGTGAGCCTCATCCGTCAGTTTTACTTTACAGTGATGGATTTGTGATGGATGTGAAGCAGCTGCTGGTATTGGGTGTTTTTTTGGTTGTTGTTGTTTTTCTTAAGGGGAAAACTGCAGCCTGTTGAGACTTCATCCTTCTAATATTTGTTCTTCTAATATAATGTTCAATCTGCTTTGGCTGAATGACAATTTTTTTCTAATAAGACAGTTTTAAAGATTTCTTTAAAAAAAAATCTTGGAAAGAATGTGTTACAAATCAATACAAATCAGAGATATTACATGGAGATTTGGTACGGCAGGATTTAGAAAAATAAAAATCTTCTTACAACAGGGGATCTAGTATAAAAGTTGTATCCATTATTCATTCATCATTTCATTTCATTCATCATTTCTATTAGTTGGAGCCTGTCCGAAAAGCAGGTTCTGTGATGGCAGGTGGTTCTATCAGTACTATGATATCAGATGAGTAGGTGAGAGTTAAATCTGACCTCAAGATTGAAAGTTTTCTTGTAATTACATACATTTTTTCCAAAGAGGCTGTCATGACCTCAGTCTGCTCAGATCATAGAGGAAAATGGGGAAAAAGGAGGGACTGGAATGCCTACAGGACGTGTCCCCTGGGAAGAATTTTGAGACAACAGTATGATGAGACAAAATAGTAACGTCCACGCTCAGGACTCGCTTAATGCCGGATTGTCTTACTTGTTCTGAAAAGGATTGAATACTTTATATAAGACAAATAAACGGCACCTGTCGCAGGTTAAAATACAAACTTAGTGCTATGAAGCAACAAGTAAAAACAAAAGAGAACATTACATGCTGTTCAGTGCCCATATGCTATGAGTAAATGTTTGGATTTGGCTTTTCTCAATCAGCCTCTGTTCCCTTCAGTCATAACTTTCCCCCTTTGTACATAATGCTGACTTTAATTCATCGAGACAAAGAAAGCCTTTTCATTTTTCCCTGTTGGAGAAACAATGCCCAGAGATGAAACAGTAGCTTCCTTTTCTTAACTCTGCTGGTGTTTTCAGATGGGTGGCAGGAGATTCCTCAGAGCTGACGTCCCTGACGCTGATTGTGAAGACAGAGGAATCCCTTCTGTTGTTCCCATAATCCTGCAGGTTTGAGGACGAGCTGCAAGACTAATGAGTTGCTCAGACCTGACAGAATCTTAATGAACTGCACTCCTGCTAAAGTGTGTGTGAATGCCCTCTGGATCATTATTCCATCAAATTATTCATTTATTTTCCCTTTTTTGGTTCACCTTAAGTATTTTTATTTATTTTCTTCCGAATTTGACTCAACTGTTAAATAGTCTGGTAGAAAGATTAGATTAGTCTAATTATAAATGAGTAATTGAATTGCAGGAGGAAATTGTGGATATTAGGAAGTAAACCAGACTGCTGCTTCTCTCGAATAAATCCTGCTTGGACAAAGAAAGGCTTTATTCGCTTTGGTTTAAGATCGTCGGCCACACTGACTCGTTCATCTGAGAATTTCACCGAGAATAAAATGCAAACAACCGAACAGTTTAGCTCCTTCCTGAACTATCTGAGAACTACCTTCCCAGACTTCATTCCCTGTCTCAGATTTATGTCCCGGGTCTGGACAGAATCGGGTTCATAAATCTGCGAATTTCCCCCTCATCGGATTCTCCGCCGGTCAGTTTGAGTAAATTTAAGCTCTCGCAGGTGACAGTGAACTTCTAAAGCAGTAGATCTTCTGACTTCTAGGTGTTCCTGGATTCCTTTTATGGTCCCACATTTGGAGGAATAACAAATGTCAGGGGTTAGATGGTGTCAGACTGGTAGAGAAACGTTACGCTGCAGCATCAAGCCTCGACTGGCAGCACTTTAACACAAATGCAGGTTTTATTTATTCTACTTTATCAGGTGATATTATCTCATTATGGACGCATGTGTGTCTACTGTGTGACTACTTGATTCTGCTTAAAGAACAAGTGTTCTACATAGATGAGTTGTCCAGATGAGAGCATAGTTTCAGTTTGAAAGCCTTTGATGCTGTAAAGTTCTTAACCAACTGGCTGAAGTGGAAGATTTTGCTGCTTGTTGGTTTAATATTACTGAGTTTGAGACTGGATCAAATTCACTTGAACACCGTAGGGATTCGGCATATGTCGGGATCAAACTCCTGCACTCCTAAAGATGAGGAAAGCATGCGGTGTGATTCTTCTCGGGGCCCTTTGTGACCACCTAAGCGCCTTTGGGGTTTTTTTTGTTTTTTTTCCTCCGGCGTGTTTGAATGCCTCGTCTGTTGGGTGACTTCCGTGGGATCCCGACAGGCTTGTCACTCAGATTGTTTGTCCTGGGGACGAGATCTGTGTGAGTCCTGTTTCTCTTCCTCTCTGCTCGGCCCGAGTGCTGATGGAGACCCGCATCCCAGGTGGCCCACACATCAAAACAAGAGGGATCGCGGCTCTTGGTTTTCAGACAAACATCACTCACTTTCTTTGTTGTCTGAGGGACAGGGGGCACGGTGCTTTATCTCCAGAGGATCTCCCCCCGCTATCGCCTTGCACCGGCCCACTGCCCCATCCCACAGGAGCCGCTAAAAGCAAATGTCAGTCATGGAGAAGGTGTTGCATTCCTTCAAAAGGTCAATTAGTGGTGGCCACTGAAGGATCCGTTGCATATGTAAGTCAAAATACAGGAACTACCGAAGGTCTGGTGGATAACTTCCAGTCATGTGACATCCTCTCATCTTGTTCCAGTCGTCGGGTTCCAGTCCACCTCTACGGACGAGCGCCTTCCACTTCCACAAACCCACGGCGGCACGGCCCGTTTTGTGTGCTGTCAGCGCTTTAAGGCTAAGCCTGATTCCTGGTGCGCCGCACATTAAAACTATTCCTGTCTCTGTAATTCACAACGCAGCCTCTCGCCACCAGCCATCTGTGCAGGTGATTCCAGCTCTGATTCCGCCCCCCCTCCAGGCCCACGTGAAGAAGACTTTAATGAGCGTGACCCTAACGTGCCCGTCTCAAGTGGTGCAGACTCATCACTCAGTTTACTGGAGTCCCCTCGCCACCGATAGCTGTCGGCCTTCTCGTGCTCCTCATTGTGACTCCCTCTCGTTGTAAGTCTTTGAACAGACACGAGGCCATCCATTTTGTGGACTTTATAGGATTTACTGTCATGTCTCTGAGGGCTGCAGCACGGGATGGGGGTGGGGGGGTTATCTGACAGGGCCTGCCTCTCTCTGCTGGAGATCAGATGAACATTTGCAGAGTACAGCTGTGGTCGGGCTGCACACGGAGAGCGGCGATGCTTTGATCAAATGCAGATGCAAGCTCTGAGTTCCCGTCGCCGCAAAAGTGCGAGCACGGAGTGAGGGACGGAGCCGGGGGAGAAGTTGGGGACTCTTTTCTCCAAAAGAGATTCGATTATTTCACAGCTTTACCGCCGTCACCTTCCCATCAGCACGGCCACCTCCCCTCCGCCTTTAAACTCAGGTTTCTGTGGGCCTTCACCATGCAGCGGGCGATTAATCAGCTGCTGAGATGTAGTAAATATTTAATAGTTTCCTATACTGTGGAGTTGGCCTATATGTTTTGGCCCCGCTTTGGCACGGAGCCAGGCTCCGTAGGTGGATTAGCTCACCGAATCCAAACAGTTTAGGGTGAAAGCAGCTCCAGTGACGACACTATGCGGGTAGCGTGCAGCTCTCAACACACAAACCCTCCACATGAAAGGTGTGTGGGGGGGGGGTGGGAGACCACAATCGAGTAAACACGGCGGCCGCTCGGAGAGGGAACACCTGTGTTTTCCCCAAACCTCTGGCACGGGGAGGACCGACCGGCGCCGGAAGCCGTTGGGATTCAACGGCGCGGCCGCGACAAAACGCCGCCTGACTCAGGCAGGAAACTGCAAAGTCAGACCCAAATAAGATCAGAGCCAATGGTAGAAATCAGAGAAGGTGGCGAGGTGATTCAGACACACACACACACACACAGGCTGGATAGTGGAAATAAGCTTAAAGCTGCAGCCAGAAATAGTGTTTAAGGTGTTGTGGATTAGGGTTAAATGTCAGAAAGGTCAGGCAAGAAACCAGTTTAGATTGGCTTAGAGATGTTATCTGGAAGGAGCTCACTCAGCATTTGCTCAGCAGGCGTCTATTTTTCAGAACTTTTCCTTTGAGGTGTTTAGAATGCAGACGGCCCGTGACAGTTTAACACTCTTGTTCACTTTAAAACCTGACCAGTACAGGAGGAACTAGAGGATTCCTCTGCATTCTTCTATTTTTTTTTTATGATGGCTTTGAGGGTTTCCCTGGTCAAACGAAGGGTTCTGTAATACGTGCGCCCTCCTGTATTCTGCTATGACATGGTAGCACTTCCCATCTGTTTACTGTTGTTGCAGGGACGGGGCCTAAACATCCTCTAATGGGATTAGTCAATGGGAGAAACCCAGAGGAAGAAAATATGTCTGCTCTCTGTACCTGCCAGATGGTAACTAACTGACCAACAACTGCGCGGCCGAAGCCCGAAGAGGCCGAGTTCACCCCACACTCTCAGCTGACTTTCTTTAAGGATCACACCAAAGATCTTACTGTAAGTTTTCGTAAACTGATTTCATGAATGAACTATTTAATAAATGAAAACCATATCCACCCAGATTACATAACAGAGTTGGGTAAAAATAAAAAATAAAAACTCACAGCATACCAAGTTTAAATCCTTATCTCTCCTCTTACAGCTCACTGTTTAAACTGCGGAATTAAGCCACAATCAACAGAAGGATTTATATTCCCAGTTTTATCATAACTAAATGTTTTCAGAAATAATTTCATTTACACACATTTGTCATCATCACTGAAGAAAAGTCTGAGCTTTTGAAAGCCTAGGTCTGAAATTTGTTCATCTTTCAGTCATTTCAGTGTTTTTACGAGCTGAAAGTTTCAACTTGAGCCACGAAATAAACATCTTTGTGTTAGCATTTATATCAAATAAATCTGGATTGACTGGAAGGTTCTGGCTCATATTTTTAGAAGAAAATAATTCTATAAAAATAGCTTGAAAGACATCAGTTGTAGAATTTTTTCAATGTTTTTTAATTGAAAAAATACTTAGTAAATAGATAGATTTTGCTTTGCGTTATCGTTTAACTTAATTTAATGCTCAGATATATGCTCTGGAAAACCTAACTGTTCAGGAGTGTTAACAGACTACACTCATATTGACACAGACTTGAAATAGATTTAGATTTGAAACATCCTAATTAGAGTTGTTCTTTTTTTCCTAAACAGTTCCATCTGAACTGACCAGATTATTTTCGAACTGTCAGAAAGATTTACACCAAGTGCTTGAACCCGGGACAGTTTTATGTTGGCATCATCAATGTTTAATAAACTAGCTTCAAAAAGACGAAGTACAACAGAAATGTCCCCACATCGCTGCGTTAAAGATCGTTTAATTACATGTAATAGTGCTGCGCCACCCTCTAAGAGGGCGTTTGTCTTCATTAAGGGTGCTTTCCTTTTCCTCCATTTTAAGTTTATATTAACTGACAAGCGTTTATTGAAGTCATTGTTTACATTCAGGCGTTGTGTGTCATATTTCCCCAGCGTGATGTTACCTTTGTGAGTGAAAATGAGTCACCTAAAACACTCAATTGCTCATGATGTGATTTAGCTCCACAGATGAGTCCTCTTGCCCCACCAGCCCGGACACGTCCACAACAGGTCATCAAAGCGTCGCACAGAAAGAAGAGACACGCTGGTAGAGAATGTGCCGCTCTCCCCCGGACAGGATAAACAACAACAAGATCATCTGGTAAACTTTAACAGTGACATTCTTTGCCGTGGCCGTCCGGAGAACAGCCCCCCCCCCCCCCCCCCGCACCCTCTGAATCAGCCCGCCTCACATACACAAGATTAAGTAGCAAAAGTGACATCCAAGACCAATCGGGCCACCCAAGAGAATCACAACCAGCGGAAAGGCTGTCAGAGCCCCCTTTTGCAACATTAATCTTCAGGCCTCTCCGCCACTGCCAACTCTCATCTCCCTCAAACGGGACACGGAGGCAGAAGACTGAACTTTTCCCTCCCTGAAGGGTTTTCTCCTCTCCATCAATTAACCCTTTGGGGGACAATTCATCGTCACCACGCCGCGGGTCAGGCAACTTCAAACGCAAGGCAGAATGGATTGCTTTTCCAGACTTTTCCCAAAAAGTCGCCTTTTAATATGGCAAAGGGAGATTAGCGTGGACGTTAGTTCAACTTGTAATCCACCTAAATGCGCTCATAAAGACACGCAGGGCAGAAATGACTCTGAAATAAGGCTTTAAAGTGATTTATGGGCCAGAAAAGTACTTCTAACTTGTCTGGTGAGGGGGGTGGGGGGGGCTGTGGAGGTATTTTCTAGGGCCTGTTTCACCCATTAACACACATGTTGATTTGTAGAATTTATGCTAAACTTTAGCAAGCCGTCAGAAGACAAGGCGTCCTGACTTCTCCAATTCTTGATCTCCTTCCAAAAGATGATTCTGTGTGTGGTGTGTGTGTTTGTGGTGTGCGGTGTGTGTGTGGGTCCATCCAGGCTGACAGTGGTGCCAACAGCAAAGCGGAAAAGATGAATACAGCGACTGGTAAGTAGCAGAACACGAGCGTGTTATGGGGTGGATGCCTTTGGTCCCAGGAGAGGGCCTTCCTCTGGGAGCAGAGGGGGATGACGCTCAGCCGAGGGTGCTCTTTGAAGAGGGCAACGCTAAAATCAAGCGTGCATGCCTCGAATACTTCCCGCTTGTTTTTGGAGAGACTCTTTCCACACGGCTGGGAGGTCAATGCTTTGGAGTACATCTTCTTTTCTCACTGTCATCCGATCAGAAAAAGAGTGTGTGATATTTGGGCGGTTCGGATTTAAGAATACACAAAGAAGTGAGCATTCACACTCTGTTTACTTATTATTTGCTGACTCGGGCTGACTAAGTTTAACATTTTCCCGCTCGCACGCAAGTTTCTGTCTGCATCTTCTCTTTAAACCGGCTCAGGAGAGAGCACACGCGCCCAGCTCCTGAAAAGTTGCTCCTGAAAGGTTTGAGGCTAATCCCAATCCTCCTCTTTGCCCCCAACCTCTCCATTTCTCAGAGTAATGGCGACCCATTTCCTTCAGGGATCAAGGAGAGGCGGTCATTTAGCCCTTCAACGGGGACTTTGGGAGCCATTACGGCTGAATTAATGCTAGCTCTATTTTCTTCCCCCCCCCCCCGCCCCCCCGACTGCGGCCACTTTCCTGCTACTACCTGCAGCTTTAGTCCGGCTCGCCGGGTTTGGCAGGGAGAAGCGGCGGAGTCAGGTGACCTCTCAGCTTCTGGGATTAAGTTTTTGTTTTCTCCTCCGTGTGCTCCAGATTGCTTTTACACCTGTTTGAAAGCCGATCACAACACGAGCCTGACCACTTCCAAACGCGGTCTGGCTGATAAATTATCCAGCTCCAGATCACATGGAGCCCCGGCCGAATGCCAGACTCTGCCAGGACGCTCTCTCAGCCGCTCTCACTAGTCAGGAGAGGGGAAAGCTTTTTCGGTTATGTTTTTCAGGGTGTTTGTCACCATGTTTCAGTCGATTTGCGAAAATTGGGGACGTGGGCCGCAGGGAGGAAAGCGTCCGTTACAGCTCTGTGGTTCTTCTTGCTGCCGTCTGTGTGTGTGTGTGTGTGTGTGTGTGTGTGTGTGTGTGTGTGTGTGTTTGTGTGTGTGTGTGTGTGTGTGTGTGTTGGCCTGTTTGTGGCGTCGCAGAGAGAATCCGGTAACCTCCCCGATTCGGTTACATGATGAATAAGAAAGTACAGATCTTTAGGTAGCGCTGCATACGGGGACTGAGAGAGCTCTCTGGAAAAGGCATTACGGCATCTCGGAGGGATCAGATTCCCAGACAGAAAACGCCGGTTCGGGGCCAAACTAAACAAGTTTAAAAAGATGTGAAATCAGAGAAATCATCACTTTGATGTGGAAGCAAGACAAGAGAAGCTGTAAATCAGTCTAACTCGTACAGGCCTTTTACACCCGGAGACATGAGAGGACATTATCTTGTGGTTTAAGTCATCGTGCTCCTCGGTCTTCTCTGAGCTTTATTTCTGTGAAGAGGAAACACGAAACCCACTAATTAAAACGAAGACGTAAAGCAGAATAGCTGTTTTTTTTTTTTTTGTTGTCTCGGAACGGGACAAAATACGTCCTACACGTTACGGGATAATAAATAATAGGGGAATAATAAACAGTACACTTTGGATAAACAGGTTCTTGTTACTTTTACTTGCCATGGGATTTTGTTTGGATAAGCTGGAGGCGTCATCAATCTGTAATCTGTGCTCGTCAAAACAAGCCCCGGTCCACGCTCTGGGACGGGAGGAGCAGCCCCGCGCGGGTCGGGGAGTTCAGGCCACACGGAGGCCATCATTTACACTTACGCTACGTTTTACACTTTTATCAGAAGCCACTTCCAAAATAAGAGGGCCTAACATTCAACCACAACCCCAGTTACACACAAAATGCTAGAAGAGGATTTAACGTTAAGGATTTAACATTCAGCTATGACGTAGATCACACCAGTACCACACGCTGAGTGCTTTGTGCTATTAGGAAAAATATCCCATAGCCAATCACGGGCCAGTGGGCTTGGAGGCAGCGTGTGTGAGTGAAAGCGTGTTATTTAGAGAAGCTCGATTAACAAATAACACGCTGACGAATGTCCGCATGTGTGTGACCCCGGGGTTCACTGTCCAGCTGAGGAGAGGAAAACAGGAAGCTGAAATCGACCTGTGCGCTTCCTAACCGGGCACAGTGCTTTTCTTTTTTCTTTCTCACGGAGGTTGGATCAAATCTTTGGCTAAAACTGCTTCCCAAACGACACGAAGAACTCAGGGGCTCATTTTGCCGACTCGCTGGTTCATGATGTCCCATCATCAGCACCACAAAAGCACAAAACACGATGTGCTTCCTCTCAGCATCTCTTATCTTTTATTTTTTAATCCTTTTTTTTATTGCATCTCCCAGCTGGTGTAGCTGATTATTACTCAAGCCGTAAAAACGTTTGCACATGATGACAGTATTAGCATTTTATGGGGTTTTCAGTCCCTGTCATAATGAACCTGTTGCACAAATCCAAAGGGAACAAACTGGCCTCTGGACGCCGCTACAAGGCCTCTGCCTCCGTTTCAAACGGGGCTTGATTCAGGCCCTCCAGGACGGTGGACGCTGCCTCATTTGGGACGTCTTGCTCCCCTGATGGACCCGGCTGGTTTGTGTTGAGCTGTGTAGCATCAGGTGCTCCTCTGTGAGCGGTTAGACGCCGCACCACATGTGTTCCGACACCCCCGTTACTGTGGAACCCTCGCCACAGACTTTTATTGGATCTTTGTAGGAGGTAAACAACTGCAAACCGCTCACAGTGATGTCGGCGGATTTTCCAGACGAACCGTCCCCGCTTTTGCTGCGGGGAGGCCCGATGGGACGCCGGCGGGCTCTCATGGGCCGGACGGACAAAACAAACCCCCTGAGTGAAAGGGTAGCACCCGGGCTGAAAAAAGCTGCTTCAGTTTGAACAGTAAGACGCACGACGGGCATCCTGGCAAACCCTGGATTCTCGTTTGAGTCAGCTGTACTTTTGTGGCCGTTTAACCGTTTGGACTGCCTGTACCACTAAACCCAGAGCCCACGTTTACGGCCGGGTGGATCGGAGCGGCCGTCCTGCTGATGTTTGCGTTGTAATGATGGTTTTGAACAATGCCACCGCGCTGCCATTCTCATTTTGCGTAATTTATCGTGCTCATAGGCCAAGACGTGTGGAATGCTTTCAACTTTTATGATACAAAGTTGTGCCAAAAGCATTTTTTTTTTTTTTCCCCTTTGGTCTTGTGGGGAATTAAAGGGGGGGGGGGGGGGGGCAACACATGCTGTCATTCATGCCCTGCTGTTCAGATGGGCCATTACGCTCATATCAGATCGGCCCGTTTGAAGTGACGAGTGACAGAACAACATAAATAGAGAGCGCGAGGCTGGAAGAGATTTGCGATGCTCCGCGTTCGCTAACAAAGGTCTACAGCAATTAGCGCTCCGGGGATTGTTGTGAGGACCGGTGCAGTCACGCAGTGGGGCTCGGTGCAGAGCGACGCCACTGTGTGCCGAGCAGAGGGAGCCCAAACGAGAGTGGAGAGGGGACGGACGTTTCAGGCCTCTCATTTCTCGTTTTATTGGCTCGTAGAAAGATTTGTTGTTAATTTTTTTTGGGCAAAAAGTACACTATTAAACTGCATTTTCCAAGCCGAGAATAGAAACCAGCCATTTATTACTTCAACATGAATTCTAGTGCACTATGAAATGAGGGTCTAGAACAAAGACTGGGATGTGGATGAGGAGCTAACAGTTCTGGGTGTTTTTTTCTTTTTTTTTCTTTTAAGGTTTTAAGCCTCTTACTCACTCTGTAGTTCCACTTTTTTTTGTCTTTGTCACGCCTGTTGTAAACTCAATGATTTGGGGTTGTGACCTGTGGATGTCACACTGGGCTTGAGGACAGCCACCCCCCCCCCCTCGTCTTCCTCCTCTTCCTCTCATTTTCTGACATCTGAAAGATCAGACAATGAACAGACAATTCCGGAATATTCTGCTCAGTCGTTGCAGACGGATCTGATGGTAATGAGATGCAGCTCCGGTTTTATGTGGCTCATTGTTCCGCTTAAACCTACTCATGAAAAGCGCAACAGAAAAAAAAAAAGGAAGGTTAATGGTGCCGGGCTCGCTAAAAAAAACGGTCGGAACTTTAAGATGGTGCGCATTAATGATGGGGTGCCCTCACGGCGCAGATGTACGGGAGCGTTCAAAGCTCCTATTTAAATTCCACTCTCCAAATGCTGAAACAATCAGGCCAAGAGGTCCAAAACACTCTCACGGGCCAGCAGATATATTTACCTCTGAGTTTAAACAGGTTGTATTTGGAATAACATGATCCCCATTGTTTTGCCGTTGCACAACTCGACCCGGAGCGCAAACACCTCATTAATCCACAGGGCCGCATTAGGTAGTCGGTAATGAGGTGAGTGTTTGAAGAGGGAAAGCGATAATGACCCAAATGTTTGGATTTTTGTATTTATAATTATGCATTTATTGACAAGAATGATACAGGTCTGCTGCGGGACGCACGCGGGCCCACAGGTGGGGGGGGGCTCGGGTTTACTTGGTGGACCTCCGGCTCCTCTTGTCCCAGGAGAAGTTGGCCCCGTAGGACTTGACCCGGGGCTTGGCGCTCCGCTTGTCTGTGATGTCGTAGCTCCAACCTGAGGAACAAACATGGGGGCGAGAGCGTCACGTTTTGTTAGCTTTGGCGGAGCGCCCGCCCCGATGAGGTGTTCCGCAGACATCCACAGGCTGTGTGCAGTCAGGACGGCTCCATCGTTTTCCCGGGGCGGTAAACAAAACTAAACAAAAACAAAAAAAGCCGTCTCCTTGGCTTCGTTTGGGCAAACTCTCCCAGATGGCTCGGTTATGAGTCAAAGTCAAACCGACTGCTGCTGCACAGATCAGAGCAATCGCACCAAATCCCAATCAGAAGATTGATAACCAGACTCTTCATTCATTCATTCATTCATTCATTCATTCATACATAATCCTGGGTTTGCTTTTGGGAGGGGGTCTGACGGAGTGGCTCTATTTGCATAACGAGTGAAGCTCAGTCTGCTTTGACTTGTCTGCTCATGTTATGACACTGAACTCCTAAAAAACAACTGGAGTCCTTTTCATTTAGACAGTCAAAGGACTCAGAATCTAAAAGATGAGACGCCAGAGTGGAAATACATTTACGGAAATTGCACAAAAAAAAACATATGACGATTGAGTAAAAGAAGGAACAAATAAATTCATTCAAAACAATAAAAAAAAAGAAGAAAATATAAAAAGCTACCACCAGTAAATTTTAAATAACTGTGTGTTTGAGGGGATTAAGAGGATTTAACAGGAAGCCAGCGTCACAAAGGATTCAAAGCAAGAGAAAACAGATGAGTCATAAATCTGACTTAAATTACCAACGGAGTGTCTTTTTTTTTCTTCTTTTTTTTTTATACTTGACAAAAAACAGTTTCAGGGTCCAAGAGGAGCAAACAAATAACGCTATGAACTAAACGACCTGCTTCTTTAGGGGGGGCTGAACACATCAGTAACGCTCTGGTTTCAGAATCAGAGCTGGTGGAGCAGCTGCCCAGAGCTCAGCGACGTGTTTCTGCTATTAGCTCCACTCCCCGCTCTGCCAGTGCGTTCTGAAATAACCGCCGTCTGGACGGGCTGGACTCGCTTAACCCCGCTCACGGGGAGTTCCAGTAGTCCAGACACCAGGAGATACAAACCCCCAACCGTTTGCTGGCACTTAAATGATAAGACAAAATACTTCTGCCTACCGAAATATTATTCGATTTTTGACTAAAATTGAAATGGTTGAATAAGATCATCAAATATTAAACATGCCCATATGCAAATGAAGGGCTAAAGTCTGGATATGACCAGAAAGAGTTACATTCGGTTGACTTTGGGGGAAGTTCTTGTTGGTGAGTTGTTAATGGTCCGCTGCCCCGCGTGTTTGAGATGTTCCTCTGTTCCTAATGAAAGGCTTCTCTTTTGTCCGCATTACGGTGACTGAAAATGTGCAAACTAAGAAGAATCTTGTATTTTTATTTATTTTATTTTTTTTAAATAGAGAGGGTATAAGACAGAGCCTCAAGTTAACCGGAGTGGGAGATGCTCTTTTTTCTATCTGAACACTGTGTCAGAGCATCAGTCTCTACAATTCCCCAAAAATCAGCAGCAGGGAATTAGCTGCCTTTAAAAAATAAATACATTTAAAAAATCGTACTCACCATTTTTCTCTGCAAAAGCCACTGCGTCTTCCTTGGAGGAGAATGAGAGCACCATGTTGGACAGAGGATCAGCCCTGAAACGCAAAAGGACATTTCTTTTTAGCTTCAGAAGTCCAGAAAGACGGGGATTTGGGTCTCTGCGGGTCTCTCACGTTGAAGCCCAGCCCATCAGCGGGTTCTCCCAGCGCTCTCTGGTGTCGAAGTCCATCTTCCACTTCTTGGTGCTGTTGACCCCGGACTGCATGGAGGTCTTGGCGGGCACAAAGATGTGAACCTTCCGGGTTTTGATGTGCTCCTCTGGGACCCCCGTCACCGTGCTGATGTCCTAGGAATCGTAGAGAACGTCACAGGTCATTTCAAGCCAAATGAAGCTAATTAAGCCATTTACTTATAAAAGGAGCCATGTTAACTTGTGGCTAAAAAGATGGATTTATAAAAAATAATAAATAACAACTGCCAGCCTCATAGAAGGGTAAATATGATGTGTGGCAGTGTGTTTTTTCTGCTGGGGACACCACCCTCTGTTTGAAATTGTGAGAAAAACTGGAATCCCTGGCCGGAGACGAGGCTTTGATAAATCTCTTTTATACCACAGTGCCTGAAACTGGTGCTTTTCATTGCCAGCAGTCTTTTTTTGAAGCACTCTGGCTTTCATTTGACTTCATTACTGATGTCATTTCATCCCCTGATAAGAGAACGAAATCCGCATGTGTTTTTTTTTAAAAGATCTGAGCGCGGGATCGTAGGTGCTATTAAAAAATACAGCTTGAAGCTTTCGACATGTTCTAGAGAGTTTTTTAAAAAACTAAAGAAAATGTTTAGGGGCAATAAAAATAGAATTACTTGGTCGTATTTTATATTTCTGCGCTTCAGCTCCAATCTGTGGAGATTTATTTATCGGTTTATTCCTTTAAATAAAGGAGGCGTCTACAAAGGCTGAAAAATTCAGAGACTTCACACTTTTATCTGATCTGTAAATCAAACATGGAATCTGGACTATATTTTTATTGTTTCTCGGATACAATGGTATTTTTAATTTCCAATCATAAAACCTCTGGCATATTTTTTCCTTTGTGTATATAAATGACTGGCACCGTACAACAAAATTCCCTTTTTTTACCATTATCCTTTGTGGCCTGTGTTGGGCAGCAGTTTTGGTCCTATATGTTAGAACTCCCTTAATGAACACAGACAGATCACAGTAACAAGTAATGCAGCGTGACCAAGAAAAGGTGGGAAAAAAGAAAGAAAGAGGGAGTCCAGAGAACATTTAAGAGTTTAAACAGCTTTTTCTATCAATATCATACCAGTTAAACTTAGACAATTTAGAAAAATGTTAATCTCAATATTCTTACTGAATGTATCTGACTGTTTTATTATTTTTCCTTTTTCCAGATCAAACACATCCCATCAATCCCTGACGCGCTTCTTCTCTGGAAGATGGACATCAGTGGGGCCGGTGGAGGATTCTCCAGTGACTGGTCTTTGTACCAACACTAGTGCCTCTGAGCAAGTCAACCAGTATTTACCGCCTGTTTTCAGCTGTGTGAATAGTCATGTGCTGTATGTTTTCCAGTATGGTGTGTGTGTGTGTGTGTGTGTGTGTGTGTGTGTCTGCATGCTGGTGCTGAAAGCGATCCTTTTCAAATATTCTTTTAAAGTGAAAATTACACTAAAAGGTAAACAGATGCTGGGAACACCCAGGAGAGCCAGACATATATGAAAAGAAGAATTGAAAAAAAAAAGAAGGCATTAAAGCCAGCTTCATGCTATAATCCATATGCTTTTTGTTTTTTACATTGATGAAACCAATGCCTAATGCTTCAGATGATTTATTCCAGACCATAAGAAAGTAGGCCAGTGTGACAATTGTGAGGAGGAGGAGGAGGAGGAGGACTGGGGGGGGGGCGGGGGGGGGGGGACGCTGAATGCATATTCCTGAGCAACTGGAGCCCCTTTAGACTCCTATCAAAGATCTGGTCCAATTCTTCAGGGAATTAGCAAACAAGCAATGGGAAGTCGGCGACAAAACACAGACGAACCTCCCAGCACGCAGACAGCAGCCACCCAGGCCCCCCGGGCCCTTCCAGGGAGCTCTCCTTTCACTCCCACAATTTTACACATTTCAATG